GCATGAAGGAGTATTGAACATACTGAAGTCTCCGGAAGAGAAAGCATCTGACTGGGGCGAGTGTCATCCAGCTGGGGCAAGTAGCTTTAGTATAATCAGGCCTGTGAGTAAGTTCCTTCTCCTATAACAAGTGAATGGATGCAAAAGAGACATATGCCAGACAGATAAATGCAGGGCAGATCATGTTGTGGGCGGTGCCTCCAAACACTTAAGAGGGAATATCAAGCAACTTTGAGGAAGGAGTTGCAAAGGAAAAGCTCAAGCGATGAGATTGCACGAAGAGGACAACTTAGTCCAGAATTGAGCTATCCCCAAAACAAAAGGGTGTATATCGTTCCCGAATTATTCCAACTGAGAATGGAAACGACTCGCCCCATCTCTCATTTAGCAGACAAAACAATGTGTTTGATCAAGGTGACAACACCTTCTTCCAAGAAAGCACGATGAAGACAAATCATCCATTTTGCTACAATGAAAAGGGAAGGCACCCATGGGACAATGCCCTCAAACGTTGAAATAAGAAGTGCCAAAAAGTCAAAGGCGGACGAAAGCGGATGAAGGGTAATCTTGTATCGATTCCAATTTACCCTTTGTATTCTTTTCCTAACATGTTCCATTTTTATCCTTGATAGGAGTCGTCAAATACCCGGGAAGGAAAATTCAAATGAGAGCAAATGGTATCGTTTCCAATTGTCCATTTTAATACCATTTTTGACATGATTCTCTTTTCCTTTGATAGGAAGCATTAAAGACCTGAAGGACAAATGCAAACGAGGGGTAATGTTGTATCGTTTCCAATTTTCCAATCCCAAAAGGGTCTTTAACTAACACATTCTTTCTTATTCTTTACAGGGTTACCAGATCGCCATACCGCAGGTAAGTACCCTTCCTCCAAAATTCGAATGAAAATCAAATGAAAATTTTCTTCACGAAAAAATAGGGGAATTTCTGATGTATTTGAGAAAAGAGCACAAAAGTAGAACTGCGAAAGCAAACTTTTCACAAAATTTTTGAATATCATCTTTATCCAAAAATTGCCTTGGTGCTTGGCGGATCATTCATTTTGAATCAAAATTCCCTGTGGAGATTAATCAATCCATGATGATCTCAACAAAATGAAAGGGAGATGTTAATCATGCCAAGTGAGAAATACTTAGAATGAGGAAAGGCAAGCCATTCCCAAACACATCCCATAAAAACTTTGAGAGTTGAGCAGAATAGAAAACCCGTGTTGATTGATGATAGAGGATTCATTCGCGAGTAGTACATGGATCAAGGTGAAAAGAGGCATTTCTTTTATATATCTTATACATTACAGGTGACCATAGTCAAGCCCCTTTGAGCCTTTACATGTGGAGAATTTCTACAAAATACCCCTGTCAAGAACCACCCTACAATGGGGCAAATTTGGAGGTTTTGGTTGACGTTCTTTGGAGGAAAAGATGAGAAAGACTTCTTTGCCCTTACTTGTATTAATCTTTTTGTGATAACTTCAGGTGAGTCCTTATGGAAGCTTGAAACATCCCAAAATAAAGAGGAGCATTTCTTTCTCTATCCAAACACTCATACCCTTTGTTCGCCAAGTTGAGCCCGAATATTCATTTCTAAAGCCCGAATGGTGATTATCTCCCTACACCTTGGGGCAAAGCACGTGATTTATCAAGACAATTGGTACTCATGAGACAGTGTGAAAAACATCTCAAAAGTTTTAAAAGCTCAAAAAATGAAAAGAGCAAAAGTCAAATGAAAACTAGGGGGCATGAAAAAGCAGTGTGCCTGGTAAAAGCAAGGCCAATGCCCATTGTAAAAAAAAAAAGAGCAAAAAAACAAAAATAAGTTGCATCAAGAGAAAATTCTCATGAAAAAAAAAGGGGAATGTCAAAAGCAAAATGCTTGCAAAAAAAAATCATTGCAAATGCAAAAGTCATTAGAGAAAAGAGCAAAGCTCTTACATTAAAATGATTAGTCAATGGACTTTCGAGACAAGTTGGATTTCAAAAGTCGAGTGCCTTCAAAAAGATTGGATGATATGGTAATGATGCCATGATAATCACCAACTCCTAAATCCCATTTGAGAATTTTCGAGCCTTTCGAGACTTTCGCCGAACCAATATTACAACCATTTCCCAAAGTCTCTTCGATTGGGATGATTCAAGTGAAAATAAGGACTTTACAAAGAAGCTGTCGCTTGAAGAAGTGGAGGCAAGGTTGTCTTATCTTATCTAAAGGTTTCTTGACTTGTAAACCTGGCGACATTCACACGAAAAAGGAAAACCTGCAATCTGTACGCGCAGAGGAGAGCTTAAAGAGAGCGAGAGAACACAGAGGCATGGAGGGGGGAGAGTTCCGAGGGAGAGAGGGAGAGTTCCAGAGGGAGAAGAGGAGAAACGGGAGGAAACAGAGAGGAGAAAGGAGGAAAAAGAGAGAGTTTGAAGAGAGAAAGAGGAGACCGTGAGCGAGCCGAGGGAGTCGGGAGACCCGAGTCTCGCCCGCTCGCCGGAGGGCCGCCTGAGCCGTTGCCGAACTCCCCCGGTCGTCGCGCCTTGCTCCGGTTGGCCTTGAACCAGGTGGGTCTCTCTTTTTCATCCCCCGTTTCGCTTCCCCCTCCCCTGCCTCTCGGGTGCCGGGCACACCGAGCCTATTCGGTGGTCGCCCAGCACCGCAAGACGAGGAAAATGCTTCTTTTCACCTTCAGGACGTGTTCTTGAGCGATTTCTATCAAGAAAAACCTTTGAATCCCGCTGAAATCCACTTAGAAACCCTTAGTTTTAGGCACATTCCACTTGTTCGATGAAATGCCCGAATGAAAACCTAAACCGCAGTCACCACGTTGACCCGTAAAAATCTTAGATTCACGTTTGTTTATTCTGATATTAGTGTTTGGTGATTGATTCTGTGTTGTTTTGTTGTGATGGCATATTGGTCGTGTGTCCGAGTGGGCCTTTGATGAAGCCTTTGCCAGAGTTGCCATTCTTGTCGCCGGATCCACGCATGCAGTTGGAGGCCGTCGTAGTTCTTTTCCCAACCTTGCATCATGTGTTTTATGTGAGTATATGTTTAGGGTTTTAGATCTGGTTGAGATGTGGAGTTATAAAAAAAATAGAAGTCGAGATCGGTGTTTGGTCGGCGGTGTCGTCTCGTGCTCGGTACTAGCTGTCGGTTCGGCGGATGTGGATGTCGGTGGTGAGAGTGGGAGCCCGGTGTCGGTCGTCGGCGTTCGCGACGCGCGTCGTCGGTCGGAGGCCGAGCGGCGTGCCCGGCGTGGTGTGTTGAAGAGCTCTCGGTGAAGAACAGAGGAGAAGTTCTGGAAAAGCACGTAGGGGATGAAGAATAGAAAAGAAATAATAGAAAAAGAAAAAGAAACAAAAAAAAGAGAAAAGAAAAGGAAAAGAGGGGAAAATAAATAAAAAATAGAAAGGAGCAGGGAATGGGGATCCCGGGTCATGTGTCGGGCGGATCGGGTCAGGGGACCCGGTCCGGAATTATTATATTAAAACATTAAAAAATACTAAATAATTCAAAAAAATATTAAAATATTAAAAATTCCAAAAAATTCGAAAATATTTAAAAACCCAAAAAAATATTAAAAGTCTGAAAAACATTAAAAAATCAGAAAATTAAAAAATATTAAAAAATTCAGAAAAATTCAAAAAAAAATCAGAAAATTAGGAGATGTTCAGAAATCAGTTTGGGCTTAATTTCACTAGATTTTAGGTTAAAAACTCAAAACAAAAAAATGAAAAGAATGAGAAAAAACCCTATAAAAAATTCCCAAAAATCGGATAAGCCATGAGGGCTTTACTTTAGGGCTTTTGATTGCCTTTTCTTTTTTAGAGACGATGCTAGGTCACTGGTTGCTTGTTTTCCTTGTGATTATTTGGTTGCGCGTCTTTAAATTATTGGTTGGTATTTTCTATTTTTAGCATGGTTAGACGGAATTTTAGCTTTTTCGATAGGCTACCTAGTACGTTAATTTGCAAGTAATCAAGTTTAGGTACCGAAAGGGCACTAGTAGATCGCTAGTGTAATCAAGTCTCCGTACCCATTGAATCTCTGGTTCGTAGAAGTGAAGCATTCCTCCCGTGTTTCATTTGGGTGTCTAATCGGCCCACCAAAATCGATTAGTGGCGACTCCTAGATAAAATTGATTTGCATGTTAACAACTTAAACTTAAGTCGCGAATTGGTATGGGCTTGGGAGAGCTCGAGCTAGGTTTAACTTAGTAATCCATTAGCCAAACCACCTTAGGCGGCGGGGCCGGTTCGGGGAGGTCGCGACAATGGGCACAATGAATATTAACCTAAAAGGGTACATTTAAGACAGTAATTTGTTCCATAACCTCGCAAGATGGAAATCCTACACAAGTCATGTTTTTCTTCATTCCTTATTAATTTTTTTTTTATCGAGTTACAAACATGGACATCATCCGCTATTAAAGTGTGTTTGGGAGCAAAACTAGGAGCCGGAGAAAATTCAGGTAAAGATAATTGAAGTGAAGAAAAAGGAGTTACTCACTGTTTGGAGTGTTGAAAGTGAAGGTGAAAAAAAGATAAAGAATTGAAATTTAATTTGTTTGGAAATTGTGACCAAATTGAAATGAGAAAGTATTGGACGGTGAAAACAACATTCTTGTCCAGTGCAAACAACGTTCTTGTCCAGTGCAAACAAAGAATTGGCTTTTGGCCCACCCATTTCTTTCCATACCAATTCCTCATCCGAATTTTCCAAACAAAGACTTAATTTCAGTTAAACTTTCATGTGGGATATGTACATTACAGCCTACTAATTAGAGGCATGATTGGAGTAAAAAATTGCCCGTATGAAATACCATGTAGGCATGTACGTGACAGCCTTTGTACACTTCTGATTTATAAAGCGATGAGTTCTAAACATACGTTCCAACACATAATACAAATCCGTCAATTCCGATCTTGTACAGGTGAACGGCGACAAAAGGGAAAAAAATTGCCCTTTCTTAAGGAAAATATGACTTAATTCTCCTTGTTTTAGTAGGAAACGTCATTCTGTCTTCTTTCTCCAAACTCTCCATTGATTATATACTCTCGTTTCGTCTGTCCTTCTCCTTCGATACACTCACAAAACTCGTTCAGCAGAGAACTGAAACGAAACAGGAAAACGTCGAAAAAATGGAGAAGATCGAGCACGCAACTGTTCGAACCAACGGCATAAACATGCACGTGGCGTCCGTCGGCGACGGCCCCGACACGGTCCTCTTCATCCACGGCTTCCCGGAGCTGTGGTACTCGTGGCGCCACCAGATGGTGTCCCTTGCGGCCCTTGGCTACCGTGCCGTGGCGCCTGACCTCCGGGGCTACGGCGGCACCGACGCACCGCCGTGCGTGGGGTCCTACTCGGCGTTCCACGTGGTGGGGGACCTTGTGGGGATGCTGGATGCGCTGGGAATCGGGCAGGTGTTCGTGGTGGGGCACGACTGGGGGGCGCTCATCGCGTGGTACCTGTGCCTCTTCAGACCCGACCGAGTGAGGGCGCTGGTCAACACGAGCGTCCCGTGGTGCCCTGGCCGCATGTGGTTCCCAAGTGATCCGGAGAGGAAGCCCCTGGAGTCGGTGAGGGCGATGTACGGAGATGATTACTACGTTTGCAGGTTTCAGGTGAGGGTCAGCGTTGTAAAGTCGAGATCTGACTTGCCTTGAGCTTCATCTTTTAAAGATTTGGAACTTTATAGTTACCTTCCTGACTATGCATGTAATCTTTTATACTTGATAGGAACCTGGAGAGATGGAAGAAGACCTTGCAAAAGCTGATACTGCCAAAATCTTTCAGCTCTTCCTCACGAGCCGTAATCCAGGCCCACTGATCGTGCCTAAAGACCTAGGATTCTCAGGAATGACCAAACTATTCCAGGACCGCCCGGTTGACTTGCCCTCTTGGCTGACCGACGATGACATCAACTACTACGCCGCCGAATTCAGCCGGACTGGCTTCACCGGAGGATTAAACTATTATCGTTGTTTGGACCTGTACGTTTCTCTCTCTCTAAGCTCATGCTCTCTTACAGGTCGAATGTTGGAGATGGTACCAATAAATATTTGAATAACACTTCTCGGGGTTGTGTGATCTGGCTTGAGTCACGGTGAAAATTGATGGGGTAGAAATCTGAGTGATATACGAAAATGATCTGTCATGTATGGGTGGACAGCGCCAGTTCATGACATGTCAATACATTCTAACTAAGTTGGTGCCATCCAAAAATGCTTTTCAACGGGATTACAAAAGGCATTTATTACTCGTGAAAACCTGCTGATTGATGTTGGTTTCGAGCTAATTGCTCGAGTGTGACGGATTTTGATTTCTCTCGATAAATTCCTATCTTGTTCGAGTCGTGTTCCTCTGTTGTGCCTAAAATTGCCCCCTCCGGATACGTTGACATTCCCCCAATGTTCAAGCAGATGGAATTATGAGGAGGAAAACGCCAGAAGGTTAGGCTAAATAATTCTCAGACCACAGGAGCTATTTTATCTAATCTAATGTCTAAGATTGTATAATAAATGTGACTTAAATGTATTCAATTTAATTAAAACGATTGTTTTCTTTTCTGAATAAAAAGTAGCCTCTTAAATCTTCTCCTTCTTTTTCAATCTTTCTTTTGGCGTTGCAATCAAAATGATATCTCAAGTCCATTCCGACCGACAATAACCTCCTTTACGAACGCAGAAATTGGGAGCTATCGGCGCCGTGGACCGGAGCGCGAATCGAAGTGCCGGTGAAGTTCGTGGTGGGGGACCTGGACCTCATCTATCACATCCCCGGCGTGAAGGAGTACATCCACGGCGGCGGGTTCAAGCAGGTTGCGCCCAACTTGGAAGAAGTGGTGGTGATGGAGGGAGTGGCTCATTTCCTCCAGCAAGAGAAGCCTGAGGAGGTCACTGCACACATTCATGACTTCATCAAGAAATTCTCATCCCCATGATCTAGTGCTCTCTGCAAAACAATTAAGGATGAAGCTGCTCAATAATAAAGGACGAAACTATTGCCTTTCTTGAACTGTCTTCTTTTCATATTTTTCTGTCGTTTGGTATTTCAATGGTAACGATATATGAAGTGATCTAACACAATATGATTTAGTATTTAAACAGACAAATATTCGACACTTGATAAAAATCTGTATTACTGGTTTTACATCCATTTTGTGTACGAATTTCATTGACTTGGCATTTCTCTTTAGGATAATACAGTTGTCGCCTTTCAAGGTGTAACAGAAAAAGGTAATTTGTTTTTATCTTTGGGAGAATTATAGAAGACTCCTAACACTTGTGATGATAATGCTAAAACTTTTTACTTTATGCCTTTGAATCCTAAGACTTGTCACGCTAGTCCACGGTTATCATTCCGTCAACTCTGTCGGCTTTCCTTAGAAGGAACGTCAATGTGTCGTTTTTATTAAAGTTCCCTTTGCATTTTGCACAAGTGACATTGCTATGGCGCCAAATGTGCATCACATCATAAAAGACTGAAAATTTAAAAAAAAAAAAAGACCTAAAAAAAAGTATATAATAAAAAAAAATGGAGATTGGAGGGGTGAGGAACCATATAGAGGGTGGTGCCTTTGCCCCTTTTGTAATTAGAAAGTTTTGAAAATAGAATTTGAATTTTGGGCCTCCAACATGCCTATTGTCACTGCAATAGCATTCCGAAGTGAAGAAAAAGTCTCAGGTCATATATCTTGAATGTAGAATCCTTTGGGTAAGGAAAATGTTCGTCCAAAGGTTAACTAAGTATTTTGATTGAAATTTCAATCGAAGTTTTCTCTATCCTTTTTTCAATAATAAGAGAAGTTTAGGATCTAGATTTGACGTTGCCCGAGGTTGCGACCTTAAATCTCACGTCGCGAGCGTAAATTCTAGAGGGGAGAAAGAGAGAGAGGGTGGCTGGAAAAGAGGAAAAACGAAAAGAATAAGGGAATAAATCTGCGCCGTCCAATTGGGGATGGAAAAGAGCAAAAGAGAAAAAGGAAATAAATCTAAGCCACACGAGGACTAACCTAGGATACATTTAACATGTTAATTTACTCCACAACTTTACAGGATCGAAATAATAACTATAGAATAACTAGTCTTTTCTGTTTGTATCAAATGAGTCACATTTCCCTCCCTTCCTTATTAAGAAGCAATTTCCGTAAATTCATGCCTTCGATTGTTCTGACAAATATGGACATCATCCACTTTTGCATATGTTTGGAAGCAAAAAACAGGTAATGGAGAAAATGTAGGCAAAGAAAATTGAAGTGAAGAAGTAATATCTTCCCCAAATTAGCGAGATTTCTTCTCATCTTTAACGGCGACCAAATAGAATAATTAAACTTATGGAAAATTTAATTTTATTCTCTCTTTTTTTTTTAAAGGGGAATGTCTTTTTGTCTTCTTCTACTCCAGCATCTGCTTGTGGTGGTTCCACGGAAGAGACGAAACTCTCCGTTCATTATGAGGAAAATTTCAAATAAAAACTTATCTTAAATAAGAGCTTTGAAGGGGCAAGCAAGTCTCAAACAAGGTTTCGGCCACCCGAAGAAGGGGCATTTTTGTCCAAAAAATTCTAGGTAAAATTTTTTTCTCTTTTCTTTTTGGTATTACGATGATTTGGCTCTCCAAAGCAACACAAGCAAAACGAGGAAGAAATTTCTTGAATCCTCCCTCTCTAGTAGAATAGGCACAAGAGGAAGCCATCAATCATCACTGGCCTTTTCGCCACCGGCACACCGAAAATGTGGTCCCTAAATATGATAATCCTTTCAATTAAACAAAAATAATAATTATCTATGCTATTTGATGACGTGGTTTACTATATTTTGATTTGAGTTGAATATCTCGCGTGAAAAATCCATGTGCAACGTTTTTATTTTTTTTCCCACTGTTCAGACTTACTAAATTGGAAGCCAAACCAGCAAATCTCGTCATTTTCAATTAATGGAAGAATAACATTGGATGTTGACATATAGTTTAGAGATTAGATCGAACATTTACTAAAAATTTAGGAACTACATTGAACAAATAAAAAGTTCAGGGATGATATTGTAAATTGCGCTAAAGTTAATGGACTACATTAAATAAATTAAAAGTTTGTGATAATATTAGACATTAAACTAAAGTTCAAGAATGATTCTTGTAATTATCTTTTTTCTTTTCTAATAACACCACCATATGTACTGACCAATGATGGAGCGCATGCATATAATTTTGTAATGAGTTTGACCTTATCCAGATCCAACCTCGATAGAATCAACAAGTTCTAAGAGATAAACTAGCATTTTGATAATGATATAAAGTAATTAAAAATTCGACTTCAAAGCTTGGATGTTGATATGATTTTGTCTTTATACCTCTCGGTATAACGAATAATCACAGCTCGCATCCGATGATCAATAATGAATGGTGCATAGACGTCGGCCAAAGAGGAAAATAATGCACTAAGGAAAGGAAAAAAGGGATTGCATCGATTAGTTTACTCGATTTCTTGCAATTAAAAATTAGTGCAGAAATTCATGGCCCCTCAGCTTTTTATAATAATGCGATGCACATATAGATTGAACATTTAAAAATTGCATAACGATTTTTTTGACATTGCAAAAAATACAAAAGAAAGATCGTAAAAGTTATCTCGGCAATTAAAAAGAAGGACGACAAATCATCAAACCCCGTTACATCTTTCTATTGTTACTAAAACTTTATCATGATAGATGATCTATCTATCATCATCATTGTCATTGTTATTACTATGATAAAATTGGATTTATTTTCTACAATGTGATTGGAAAGAACTACATAATAATATGACATTTTTGTTCGCACCATAACTACTTCCTCCCCCGCGTTAACATAATTACAATAAACTGATGATATCTCTTATGTAAGTTTCAAATTGAAAAAAATTAAAAAAAAATCCATAATGCTAGGGAAACCACATCATCCAGACACCAATGCCTCACATCTCATTGCAATACCAATATATATAGATTTGTAAATTTTTTTGATATATCTCCAGATAATCATTTAAATACAGTAAAAAGTAATCATAATATAAATTGAGCAAAGCGTGAAATGTAAAACATAAACATTGAAAAATATGCAAGAAGACACATAACTTCGTAGTTATTAAGGGTGCGCATGGCAACGATTCTATGCACGAGAATTGATTCTGCTCATAAATAATTCTTTTTTATTCTGTACCCGAAAACAATTTCTAAGCATTTGAAAGCGTTTGGTAACTGCACAAAATTTCTATTCTTAAAATAAAAAAAGAACATAAATGCGTTTAGTAACTATACAAAATTTCTTTTTATTAATAATATTTTGAATTTTTTAATATTTCTTTCTCTTTTTTTCCTTTTTTTTCCTTCCCTTCCTTGGCTATGACCAGTCGTCGGCGTCGGCGACCGGCCACAGGCCAGGGCTAGCGAGGGAGTTGCGACCCTCGCCGCCGCCCTCACCATGGCTAGGCGAGGCCTCGCTGTCGCAGTCGCGAGTCACCCTCGCTGACGCTGGCGTGTGGCCGGCGGCAAACTGGGAAGAAGAAGAGGAACAAACCAAAAAGGAAGAAGAAAACCAAGAAAAATCATAAATGGAAAAATTGTTCCAGAATTAAGAGGCTACTTTTTTTTGCTTATTGATTTTGTTCCAAAACTGATTCTGGGAATAATTTTTTGCAAATTTATGTCCGGGCACAAAAATTTTAACAAATGGATTTCTGTTCCCAAACTGATTCTAAGAACAAAATAACAGAAATTTTCATTATTTGACAACTTGTCAAACGCCCCCTAAATGTCATTTTGTGGGATATATATCCATTTTCTTTTAATAATTGTTTTTTTTTTCAAAATGGTACTACTAAATTAGGCGAAAAAGTAAGAATAGTAATAGAATGAAGAGAGAGAGAGTAGAGAAAAAAATATAAAAAATATATGTAAAGATTATGCCGTAGTTATTTGTTTTCTGACCGTTGAGGTGTTAATTGTTAGGGGTGTCAATGGGTCGGGTCGAGTCGGGCTTTCTTGATACCCTATCCGACCGGAAACGTATAGGGTCGCGCTTGAACCGCCCCGCCCCTACCCAAGACCCTATTCAGCATTTACTTCAAGAGATGGGTCGGGTCGGGTAGGGTAGGATCGGGTCAGTGCCGGTGCCACAACGCCAAAATCTCACTAGAGGTGGATAAATCGTCCTCCTGCTCAGTCTTTCTCAAGCAAGAGACAGGAGCGCAGTGGCCATGGAGCGTGCGATTATTTGTAGAACCAAGAAAAAGAAAAATCACATCCAATTCAGACCAGTCAAAGAAAGCTAACGTGGGGGCGGGTAGCGATGAAGGAGAGACTTGCGATCTGGACTGCGAGCGCAGGCGAACCGAGACGAGAGCCTAAGCGACAGCAACAGCGACGGAGACGGAGACGGCGACGGCCACGGCCACGGCCACGGCAGTGGCCGTTAAGCCCCGCGCAGCGATGGATAGAAGAGACAAGGGCTTCGCGCACAACTCTAAATGGCTGAAGCGAGTCCCATGGCATTTGAAGAGGCCGTCGTCAGAGCTTCAATTGGGAGAAGGTGAAGAAGACTGGGAGTCCATTCTTATCCATAGAATTTGGCAGAGGAGCAACGGGAGATGCTAAAATATCTTTGCTGCTGTGGGTATTGGGTAAGTGGGTACTGGTGTCAAAAAAGCCCGACCCAGCCCAACTCTAACAATACCCACACTTAAAAACCCTATTCTAAAGAAGACTAAGCCCGACCCCAAAATATCCGAAATTTTAGGGTAGGGTCGGGCCGGGTCGGGTTGACGTGGGCTTTTTTGACACCCCTATCTGGCATATCCATGTTTAAAAAGGGAAAATGGCACAAACAGTTCCTGAATTTTGACTCGATTTGCAATATGATCCCTAAACTTTAATTCAATATGTAATATGATCCCTGAATGTTTTATTTGCTCAATATCGTCCATAAAATTTTGGTACAACTATATAAAAATGTTCAATGTAATCTTTCCATTAATTCAAGTTCAGGGACTACGTTGAACATATACCAAAAGTCTAGAGATTATAATGAACAAATTAAAAATTCGGGGATTATATTGAATATTAAGCTAAAGTTCATAGACTACATTGAATAAATTAAAAATTTAGAGATCACACTGCACATTGGATCGAAATTCAGGAACTGTTGGTATTATTATCCTGGCTATCCACAAGTGTAACGTCACCCTGTTGACCGGTCAAAGAAGGGCGGAGGTAACTATCGCATCGTCATGGGAGTAGTTGCCACTTGGTCGTACATTTGACAATTTATTGCCAGGTGTGTCTCCTTCCTCTCCAGCTGTTTGTGGTGGGTTCCACGAAAACGACCTAACTCACTCTCGATTAGGGGTGTCAAAAAAACCCGTCCAAACACGACCCGACCCGATCCAAACAGGAAATTTTCGTATTTGGTCTGGTTGGGTCTTAATTTGTTTGGGTAACAAGAAAAATAATTGGGTCATGTTTTGAATTTATTTGGTTCGGGTACCCAAGCCCAACCCAAACAAGAAAAACCCAAATAAGGAAACCCTAGATCTTGGGGTCTTTCGGCCAGATAGCGCTTCCGAACCATCCATGCCGGCCACTTCGTAGTTTCTTCGCCAATTTCGCGAAGAACAAAGGCTTCTCAGCTCTTCCGTCCTCTTTCTTGGTCTCCCCTGACAGCTTCAGATCATCCCACACGCCTACACATCGCTCATGCACAGGGATCTTTTACCGAACAGAAGCGGATCTTCTTCTCGGGTTTTGTCTGGGAGGGCCATGAATTGACAGAGCGCGATGGCGTTCGCGATCATCTCCACCGGGTCGGGTGTTGGGGTCGCGTCAGCTTCTTCTCTGCTTCCTCTCTGCCAAGCAGCCGTGGCGCAATGGGTACTCGAGTTGTTGCCGCGGCCTGTCGCCCACCGCAGAGCGGTCTTTACCAGATACAGAGCGAAACAGAGACCAACATTCGCCGCAGAAGCTGTAGGCGAACCAGTCGGCGATCGGTGAGTGGACCATCAGCGCATGCGCGACACCGTTCTCTGCTGCATCGAGCGAGCCCTCACTACTTGCTAGGTTCGCTCAACTCAGTCCAGTCAGAGTGGGACAGAGTCGCTCGTCGCCGTTGTCGAATGTCTCAAATCGCCATCCATTTCGTCGAGCTAAATGTGGTCAGCTTTCAACAAGAGTCGGATCGGATCATGCGGCAAGAAACTGCCCATCGAAGCTCCCTCATCTTCCAGACTAGCCTCGGAACTTACGGTGGGGGAGTAAAAACAGAGACAGCGGAGCATTCGGTCTATACCAGGTCTTCAGTGAGCTTCAAATTCTTCTCCGGAGAACCTCACGCGCCACCGTGTCTCCCAAGTCGTTTCTTTCCGGTCTGTAAAATTGGTTTTGATTCATTCTAGATTTGTCCACTGATTTCTGCTCTGTTTCGTTTTATTGTCGTGCATGGGGTCGCGGCATCAAGCCCTTTACGAGTCATCGCACCATACCCTCGGACTGGCGCCTAATTGTATTGGACTTCACGTCGCCGCCACGGTCGCGCACCTCGTGACCTCGCACCTCGCTTTTCTGTTTAGAATTGACTCCGCACCTCGCGGCTCCTCGGGAGGCTCAGGCTTCACCGGCGAGGCCGCGCCGGAAGGGGCATCTTCGGCGTGCTGCAACGGAGGAGACGGGGCGGCGCGGAAAGATAGAAACTCAGGAAGCAGAAGGGAGTGTTGGCATAGGCGCGAGTGGAGAGCGTGGAAATCAGAAATTCATTTTTGGGCGTGGAATGAATTTGGCAGGTTTTTGAGGTGATGAGAAAGCAAGAATAAAATCGTTTGGTTGAGTTTGAAACACGGAACCCGGCCCGACCCGACCCGAACCGACCCGTCCCGATCACTTGGTTATATCATGTTCGGGTCTTGTTTTGGGTCGGGCCGAGCACACATGTCCATTATTTCGGGTCGGGTCGGGTATCATGAAAATCCGGCCCGACCCGACCCATTGACACCCCTCCTCTCGATTCATTGCATACTGTCATTTCATCTCATCTTCCTCTTCTTTGCTACACTGGCAAAACTCGTTCAACAGAGAACGGAAGAAACACAGGAAAACATCGGAAAAAAAAATGGAGAAGATCGAGCACGCGACGGTCCGCACCAATGGCATAAACATGCACGTGGCGTCCGTCGGCGACGGCCCTGACACGATCCTCTTCCTCCACGGCTTCCCGGAGCTCTGGTACTCGTGGCGCCACCAGATGGTGTCCCTCTCGGCCCTTGGCTACCGTGCCGTCGCGCCCGACCTCCGGGGCTACGGCGGCACCGACGCACCGCCGTGCGTGGAGTCGTACACGGCGTTCCACGTGGTGGGGGACCTGGTGGGGATGCTGGACGCGCTGGGGATCGGGCGGGTGTTCGTGGTGGGGCACGACTGGGGAGCGATCATCGCGTGGTGCCTGTGCCTGTTCAGGCCCGACCGAGTTAGGGCTTTGGTCAACACGAGCGTCACGTGGTTCCAAAGGCTCATGTGGTTCCCGAGCGATCCGGAGGGGAAGCCCGTTGAGTCGACGAGGGCGATGTATGGAGATGATTACTACGTTTGCAGGTTTCAGGTGAGGACAGATGTTAAATAGTCGAGATCCGACTCGACTCAAGCTTGATTTCTTACAAATTTGGAACTTTCAGCCGTGGCGGCTAGCAGAATGTAGGTCACAGATCACGCCAACTTGAGTAGAATCGGAGTTTAACTGCTAATTCGATCTTAATTCTCGAGCAGCATCCTAGTAACTCGACTCGTTTATGCTCTTTAGCAGTCAACTGTTGTTGTCGATCTTAAGTTACTTTCCTGAGATGGTAATCTGTAACTTGGTAGAAACCTGGAGAGATGGAAGACGACTTTGCAAAAGTCGATAATGCCAAGCTCATGAAGCTAATCCTCACAAGCCGTGATCCAGGCCCACATCGCATGCCTAAAGATAAAGGATTCTCGGAATTGACCAAACAATTCGAGCAGCACCAGATTGAGTTGCCCTCTTGGCTGACCGAGGACGACATCAACTACTTCACCGCCGAATTCAGCCGGACCGGCTTCACCGGAGCTTTGAACTATTACCGTTGCTTGGACTTGTAAGTTTCTCTCTAATCTCGTGCTCTCTTATCGTTCGAACGCTGATAGAAAATTTGAATCACGTTGCCTACATGGTGCGATATAGCTTGAGTTGTGGTGAAAGTTCATAGGCTAGAAATATGAATGATATATAATGATGATAGTTGCATATGGTTACATGGTGTCGATACATCTTTACCAATCGTTGCTGCCATCACTAAATTGTTTTTCGATGGGATTACAAGGCATTTTTTTTTTTTGGTGAAAACTTGCCGAGTCATGTTGGTTTCATGCAATTACTGGGGTTTGCCCCAGTAGTCATCCTTCCTACTTGAAAAGGGGGAAGCGGGGAGTTCGAATCCTCACTTTCTGGGGAGATTAGGGATGGGGACGTGTAGTTTCGGATATGGGTTTCAACTCTCACACCTTGCAAGAGGCAAAGCAAAAGACTGAGAGTGAGGTGAGAGTTAGAGTAAGATGGACAAAAAAAAAATTTGTTGGTTTCACGCGTTCATTATGTAAGTTACTACGGATTTGGATTTCTCTGATAAGTTCATTTTAGTAGCGGGTCCGGGGAAAGAATACGTTGACATTTCTCCGATGTTCGAGCAGATGCATTGATGAGGAGGAAAATGCTAGAATAGTAGAATGTTTAGCGTAAACAGTGCTCGTAACAAAAGACGCTAGCTAATTCATCTCATCTATTATCTAATATATATTATAGTAAAAGTGACTTTCAAACATTAAATGCATTCGATTTTAAGATTTTTTATTGACAAGTAAAAGTTCAAAGAAAACCTCTTAAAAACTCAATCTGAACATAATTATAACAGTATGATCAGATAGCTTTCAAACAATATTAAATTTTCATATAAGATGTATGCGAAAAAGTAGAGAATGAGTTTTAGTAAACATAAATTTTTCAACAAATTCTGAAATATAGAATCCATTCGAAGCATGACAACCACACTAGCTAGTTTGTATTTGTGATGGCTTGTTTCTGTCACACCCTTTTCAACATCTAAGTAGCTGTGTTCTCAAAGTGATACAAACCAATGTTGTTCCGTCGGAACGAAGATGGGCGCAAAGTAAATTACATGTTGCTACTTCAATCTTTTCCTTTTCTGAGGCATTGCAATCGAAAGTGATATCTTGAATCAATTTCGATCATTAGGATCTTCTTTATGTACGCAGAAGCAGCGAGCTATCGGCGCCATGGGACGGAGTGCCGATCAACGTGCCGACGAAGTTCATAGTGGGGGACCTGGACCTCACCTATCACATCCCTGGCGTGAAGGAGCACATCCACGGCGGCGGGTTCAAGCGGGCGGTGCCCAACTTGGAAGAAGTGGTGGTGATGGAGGGAGTGGCTCATTTCCTCCAGCAAGAGAAGCCTCAGGAGGTCACCGCTCACATTCATGACTTCTTCAAGAAATTCTCATCCCCATGATCTATATTACTCTCTCTCCAAAAAATAAAGGAAGAAGCTGTTGTTTTTCCCCATTAATAAAGGAACAAGCTGTTACTTTTTTGAATTGTCTTGTTTTTAAAATTTTTCTGTCGTTGGGTATCACAATGGAACGATATATTAAGTGATCTAACATACTAAAACCTGAGTATTCAAACAAATAAAGGAAAAATTACCAAAACAGTCATAAATCTATTATTATCGCAATTGTGCCAATTGAGTCCTAAACATTTTATATTTGTGCCAATTCAGTCTATTCGCCCAGTTTTTGGCCGTTAGCATTGACATGGGTGCCGGCCGTCCTACGTGACGTGGCTGGCACTAATGCGGATAATTTTTAATAATTTTTCAAATTTTTATACTTATTTTTCCCTTTCTTTTGTTTTCCTCCCCTTATCTTGAACCTCTAGCTGGTCGCCGATAAGAAAATAAAAAAAATAATTCGAAAAACTATTAAAATTTTATTAAAAACTGTTCACTTTAGCGTCACTCGCACCACGTAGGATAGCTAGCATCTATATTAGCGCAAACCGGCCAAAATTGACCAGATTGACTAAATTGACACAAAAACAAAAACTTTATGACTCAATTGACACAAAAAAAGGATTACGGACTGAATTGACACAATTACAATATGTTTCAGACTGTTTTGGTAATTTTCCCAACAAATAAATATTTGACACTTGATGAAAATATGTTACATTACTAAATATGTTGATTTTGTATTCTAGTTTTGTTGACTTGCCATTCCTCTTTGGGCGCTCCTAATAACCATTTTGTTTCTCCATTTTCCTATTTTTCTTTTTTCGGGAACAGATTTAGAGCAGAAATCTATTTGGTAGCGCAATTTCATTTTTATATTTTTTGAACAAATTTTTAGTCCAGAAATAGATTTGGAACATAAATGAGAAGTAAAAATGTTATACTTTTCTATTTCTGGAGCAAAAGGAGAAAAAAATTCTTCTTATTGCTCGCCCTCGCCTTCTGTCGCACATAGCCGCCGCTCGCTGCCTTCCACCACCGGCCATTTGCTGGCCATCGTGGCCCACCACCCCTCGCCGGGCGCCGACCATCGATGAATGGAAAAGAGTATAAGAGGGAAAAATTTTGTGTCGTTATTAAATAAATTTCTATTCTAGAAAGAGAAATTTTGTGTCGTTATCAAATGCGTACTTCTATTTAGAAACTCGTCCAGGGAATAAATTTTTCTTTTTCTGGCCAAAAATCTATTCCAGTTGCCACAATAATCCTAAAACTGTTTGCTTTGTACTTTTAAATTCTAAGGCTTGTCATAGTCGATCACGATAGTTATTCTGTTAACTCTATCGCCTTTTCTTAGATCGAAAGTTTATAGCGCAACTTTTAGTATATTTCCCTTTACTATTTGCGCAGGTGGCCCTGATGTAGCGCTGAATGGGCGTCGCATCAATAAAAAGACAGAAAATTAGAAGGAAAAGAAAATCTAAGTAAAAGAAAGAGTAGAGTCAAAAAGTTTATGAAAAAGTTGGTGTTGCCAACGCAAGCTGCCCTCGCTGATGACAGCCGTCCTCTCTCTCTTTCTCTCTGTCAAGTGTAATCCCCCTTTTTTTTAAAGAAAAAATATATATTCTTTTGTAAATAGAAAATTATAAATAGTTTTGGCGTGAAAAAATAAAGAGAGAATTTTAATTTTGGGCTTCCAACGTGCCTATTGTCACTGCTGTAAGTTCAATGTTATGGCATTCCAAAGTAAAGAAAAAGTTTCAGGCTGTATATCTTGAGTCTAGAACCTTAGGTAAATATATTCCAGTTGACCAGTCATTGAAGGTAAAGTGAATGAAAGATAGGGAAAATGTTCGTCCAAAGGTTAACTAAGGATTTTGGTTGAAATTTTAATCGAAGTTTTCTTTATCATTTTTTCGGTGATAAGAGAATTGTGGGTCCTAGATTGGGCTTGCCCGAGGTGGTGACCTTAAATCTCACGTTGCGAGCCTAGATTCAAGAGAGAGGGAGTGTGCGTAGTGACCTGATTTGACGAGGATGAGAAGTGATCGCTGGGGCAAGAGAGTTAAGACAAATAGCGACCCTCTACAGACAATTAAGATGGCAAAGGGAGCAAAAATGAAACAAATTACCACTTAGCATGGAGAGAGTTTTCCTAAATTATGTGGAACTAAAATTAAATCACAAGATGTTCCTTTTGATGTAAGTACTTGAACTTCAATATCAAATGCGTGCGAGAGCATTACTGGGATGGGTAAAAATGCCTACCTATACATCGAAAGACATGGATAATACATTGAGTAAGCATTACCGGGGCATGGCAACCCCCGCTTGCCGCCCCCCCCCCCCCTCGCCAGCCCCTCTCGGCGATGGTGGGACGGCAGGGGGGGAGGGGGGGAGGTTAAGCCCTCCCTCCCTGCCTATCCTCCTCCTCCTTTTTTTTTAAACTTATTTTTAAATTTTAATTTAAATAAAATCAGTATTAAAATAATAACAAAAAACCATGCCATCGCTACATAGGATAGAAAAATATAATAAAAAGGGGGAGGTTAAGCCCTCTCTCCCCGCTTATCCTCCCCCTCCTTTTTTTAAACTTATTTTTAAATTTTAATTTAAATAAAATCAGTATTAAAATAATAACAAAAAAATCATGCCATCGCTACATAGGATAGAACAATATAATAAAAAGTCACGTTAGTATTTTTCGTTAGCCAAATTGGACAGTGTTAATTTTAGGACTCGATTGAACCAGTTCGATAAGTTTTAGGATTTGATTGTAATTTTTGTTAGTTTTAGGACTCAATTGCGTTTTTGTGACAAATTTTTGAACTTTTAATGAATATATCCAAAAAAAAAAGTTACAAATCTGAGCATTCAATGGGGGATGGAATTAGACAAAAAAAATGGGGATGGAAAAGATGAAAAGAAAAGAGAAAAAAGGAAAATCTAAGCCACAAGATGACAAATCTTAGATACATTTGAGATGCGTTTGTTTCAAGGGAAGTATTTTATAGGAATCCGTTTGCCGGACTTTCACCCGTCTGGTTCGCCGAAAATGATTAGTAAATTGAAAACACTTTTCAATCAAGAAAAATATTCATGTATAAAATTAGGAAAGTGAATTCTCTAATCTAAGAAGGTGAAAATAATTTCTGGAATTGCTTCCCTTTAATTTTTTAATTTTTTATTCTTTTCTTTCTTTTTTTCTTATTATTTTTTATTTTTAAAAATAAAAATATTTTAAAATGCGAATTTTTTTTTTTGCCTGAGATAAAATCATGGGATTAAAATTATTTTCTAAATGAGATCCAAATACCAGAAAATGTTTTCGATCACATATCACCAAACAAAAGAAAACTAACTATTTTCCTAGAAAATGATTTTCCGGAAAATATTTTCCAAAAACGTTATATTTTCCGTAAAACAAACACACCCTTCATATGCTAAACTTCATAACTTTGCGATCGAAATCCAAACTACAATAGCTAGTCTATTCTATTTGTATCAAATGTGTGACATTCCGAATTTTGGCCCATTTTTGGGATTTATAGAACGAGTATTTCGTCAGTGCGCTTATAGTAAAAATCTCACCCGGGAACTGATCACTCCCGGTTATTATTTTTAAATCTTGAGATTTCGCTAGAATCGCATTCGATCGAATTTGGCCGTTATTTAGACCCTGACCTTGGCAGTCGATTTTCGAGAGTTTCGGGACGAAATAAATTGGACGGTGTCAATATTATTGTGGCCAGCGTCGAGGTGATTAGGAATAGTGAGAAAGTGGATTTTTGGACCGGGTGCGAATTTGGACTGGTAGACCTCCCTCATAGTGAGTCTTGAGTTATTTTATTTTGGCCCGTTGTCTTATATTATTGTTTGGGATTTTTCGGGGACAGTTAGATCTTTTCCCGGATTTGAATCGCGATAATTAGAATAATATTTAGTTTGAACCGTGTCCGTTGATTCGCGCTCGAGGATAAATATTAACTTTTTCTCTCTCTTTCTCTCTCCTCTCTCCTCTGCCGCGCCGCCCGTCCCCTCCCCCGCGCACGTCTCTCTCTCTCTCTCTCTCTCTCTCTCTCTCTCCTTTCTTTTTCTTCTGGCCGCACGTCTCCTCTGCATGCGTCCCGTCCCGTCCACGCCCATTCCCCAAGCAGACCAACCCCTTTCCCCCCCTTCTGACACTCTCTCTCTCCTCTCTCCTCTTCCTTTCTCTTCTTCTTCTTCTTCTTCTTCTTCTTCTTCTTCGGGCCCGACTGTCTCCGTCCGTTCCGGTTCTGCTCGCCGAGCCGTCGCGTCGTGCCGCCCTGCCACCGTCGCCCGCAAGCTCCGCCGCCGTCGCGCCGTTCGCCAGCCGCCCCGATCGCCCCTCGCCGGCTTGCCCGCGGGGCGCGCGCAGCAGCGCAGCGAGCTTGCCGCCGCTACTCGTCACCCCCGGCGCCTGCCCAGCTCGCCGGCGCGTCGCCCAGCCACCGCCTCCGCCCCGTCGACGCCGCGAGACCAGCCGCCAACCCCCTTGCCTCTCCCCTCCCCCGGTCTCCTCCCTGTCCGGTTCTGCCCGAGCCGAGCCAGCTCGCTGCGCCGCGTCGCCAGCTCGCCGCCGCCGCTCCGCCGTGCAGCTAGCCGACCGTCGCCGCCGCCGCCGGTCCGCTGCCTCCCCCTCAGCCTCTGTCTCCCTCTCCTCCTCTTCCTTTCTCTCCCTCTCGTTCTCTGTCTCTCTTTCTCTCACCCGACTGGCCTCTCCTCCCAGCACGCTGCCGCCACGCCTGGCCGTCGCCACCACGTCACCGCCGCCGCTGGTCGCCGCCCCGACCAGCCAGCTAGCCCCGGCCGACCAGCTCGGACCGTGACCAAGCCGCGTGCCCACGCCCGCGCCCGTTGCCCACGCCCGCGCCCGCTGCCGCGCCCGCTGCCGCGCCCGTTGCCCGCGCCCGCGCCCGTGACCGAGCCCGTGACCGAGCCTTGTGCCCGTGGCCGAGGGCTGTGCCCATGGCCGAGCGCCATGGCCGAGCCCCGCGCCGAGTGAGACACTGTTCACTCGGGCCATTTTAGGCCCGAGCCGACTTTTTCCGGGCCAAAATCTAGTAAGTGGCTTCCTAAACCCTACCTAGTATTTTGGGTACTTTATTGACTTGTCTCGGGTTAGAACGGCTAGGGCGTGTTTTAATTTAATTATATTATGTTACAATTGCGCTATTTAAATTGGATTAAATGATATGCTTGACTCGGGTAATGGTGCGTGGCCGACTTGAACGTCGGGTTTGTAGACTAAGGTGGCGAATTGTGAATTGGACTGAGTTGTGAGTATGGGTTGTTTGATGCAATTGGCGTGAAATTGATTTAATTGATTGGCGTGTGCTTGCCTGTCGATTTTAAGCCCGGATTGATCGGAGGGCTACGGACTTGGGACGTGTTGACGGCGGTCCGTGTGAAGGCATGAATGGCCGATGTGCCAAATGGATTCGGGCTTGAGACGTGTTGACGGTGGCCCGTTAAAGGTGTGTTGGACCGGGACGTGTTTACGTCGGTCATTGGAATTTGAGCCCGGATTGATCGGAGGGCTACGGACTTGGGACGTGTTGACGGCGGTCCGTGAAAGGAAAGTGTGGCTTGGGACGTGTTGACGGCGGCCACTGGAATTGATTGAATGGTATGGCTTGGGACGTGTTGACGGCGGCCATTGGAATTGATCGAATTGTGAGGCTTGTGTGCCTCGTGAGAATGAATTTGAGGCGCAAGTGGCGCGAGTTGTGAGAAAGATGTTCGGACACGCATGTGATTTGAGTGTGATTGAATTGGTGGTTGAGCGTGTGATCGAATTGACCTGGTTGAGCGTGTGGACTGATTTGGGTTGGTTGAGCGTGTGATTTAATTGACCAGTTGAACGTGTGGTTGCTTGGCTGGGCTGGTTGAATGCGAGTGAGATTGCGTGTGCCGGGTGACCGTGATATGATGATGAACTATTCTTGCATTATCTTGTTTGGACTAATATGCAGGGTTGACTCGTGATTCGAGGGCAAGGTAAGTGTAATGATGTGAACTCTATATGTTATGGGGTAGTTTGCATGTACGACTTGTCTGGGTACGCATTGGCCTACGTGGGGTATAGGGGGTTGCTTATTGAGACTCGTTCTCACGGTTATTATATAACCATTTCAGATCCGCGACCGTGAGTGATGAGAGACGCTGCAAGGGTATCTCGGAGATCGAGGACGGGTCGAGTGTCCCGTATTTTGAGTTTCCCCTTTTGTAGAGGAGTTAAGTTCGTGAACCATTGTCCCTTTTGATGAGCATTGTATGTATTTGCTAAGTGTAGGAATTACAGTTATTGTTTTGTGCTATTGTTACCCCTTGTCATTATTAATTGTCCGGGTTGTTTCTATTTGCTTCCGCGCGTGCCTAATCTCTGATGTTTGGGTTGGGTCGGCGACGCGTCTTGGGACGTCGCGTTCAATGATCGACCATCGCGGGATAATCGCGCGCTCGTAGGGTGCGGGGCGTGACAAAATGAGTCATATTTTCCGTCATTCCTTATTGAAAAAGAAATTTCTTTATTATGTCTTTGGTTGTCGACTCATAAATATGGACTCCATCTACTTTTACAATGTGTTTGGAAGCAAAAATAGGAACCGGAGAAAATGCAGGCAAAGAAAATCGAAGTGAAGAAAGTGAAGGTGAAGTAAATTACAATGCAGCCAAATAAGTGTAATAATTTGTTCCCTAAATTCCCAGGTGATCCTAAGTGGATTGCATCATTTGCAGGTTTCAGGTGAGGACTAATGTTGAATAGTCGAGATCTGACTTGACTCGGGCTTTATCTTTTAAAATATTGGAACTTTAATTTGTCGCCCGCAGTAAAACTCATATCAAAGACCATGCTAGCTCGAGTTGAAGCTCGAAATTGAATTCTACGAGTCCAACGAAAATTTGAGAATAATACCGTATGAATGTTTTTGTAGAGACATAGTTTAGATGTAAGAAAATTTTCAATTATTAGGCTCATATTCCTTAGGTAACGTCAAGAGAAAGAACAAATATGATGATTTAAACCGATACGTTTAATTGCTGAATAAATGACACTATTGGAACAACTCATGGATTAGAACGTTTAGTTGTCAGTAAGATCATATTAATGTGTAACACAAGACATATAATTTATACGATTGAGAAAAATATTTTATCGAGTCAATAGCAATCAGTGAGTTGCGATCGCTCGTTTGATTTGCAAAACAACTAAGAATGGATAAAATCCCCACAATTCTCCAAATCTCATTATAGCAGTTAATTTCTTTCTAATTTTTTCCATTGTAGAAATAAAATTTCCTAATTTTCCTCTCCTCTTGTTCTTGCTATGTTCAACCCTTCAACTTTCTTTTTAGGTTTCAACCCCCACTCCCCAACCCAAAAAAAAAAAAAGGAAAAAAGAAAATATACTTCCTTTCCTTTGTGGGGCCGGCCGCCAACCCAAATACATAACTTTTTTCCATGTCATCATGCAAGACAATTAAGTCAATAAATCAAACAATTTTTTGAACACTTCACACAGCTTTCTATCGCCTAACTTTTTTTTTTTGGTCGAATTCTATTGCCTAACTTCAATCGTGAGAAAAGAGTTTAATTTCCTTCGGCGGCTTTTGAAGAATTCAATCCCGTGTAGTGTTTGCGAACGACTGACTGAACTTACGAGTAAAAAGCTTCTCTGTTGCTATTCGCTCGTTCCCAGCAACGGGACAAAGCGAAACGACAACTTTTCTTGTTCCGCCGTCTTCTTCCTTCCTTCCTCCTCCTTCTGATAAAGACTGAAAAATTTTGTTTCGGTAGATTGATCAATCCAACGACGACCCTCCATTTTCTGGCTCGAACCCAAGCTCGCTCAGGCGGAGAAGGACGCAAGGGCACCACCAGAACTCCGTGGAGATGGAGAAGATAGAGCACGCGACGGTCCGCACCAACGGCATCGACATGCACGTCGCGTCGGTCGGCGACGGCCCCGTGGTCCTGTTCCTCCACGGCTTCCCCGACCTCTGGTACACGTGGCGCCACCAGATGCTGTCCCTCGCCTCCCTCGGGTACCGGGCCGTCGCCCCCGACCTCCGCGGCTACGGCGACACCGACGCGCCACCGTCCGCGGCGTCGTACACGGCGTTCCACATCGTGGGCGACCTGGTGGGGCTCCTGGACGCGCTCGGCGTCGAGCGCGTGTTCCTGGTGGGGCACGACTGGGGGGCGGCCATGGCGTGGTACTTTTGCCTGCTCAGGCCCGACAGGGTGAAGGCGCTGGTGAACACGAGCATCGTGTTTCACCCGAGGAATCCGGAGAGGAAGCCTATCGATTCGTTCAGGGCGTTGTTTGGCGATGATTACTACATCTGTCGGTTTCAGGTGAGTGAAAATTGGATTTGTGGTTGTGGGTTGGTTCTGTTTTGTTGACTTGATTGATTGATTGTGTTTATGTGGTGATTTTTGTGGGTTTTGGAATGTTTTAGCGATTCTGTTCTTTGCCTAATTGAGGCTGTGGATCAATGAAGCTGACTATCTTTGAACAGTGACCTGATAGCGAGGGAGTTGATGGCTCTGCTGTTTGTGGCTTCTGATAAATCTGGGATAGACAACTTTTCCTGTTATTGGAAGTGGTTGTCTTAAGAACAGAATTTTCTCTTAAATGGGGTCACCTTGAGTTTGCTGCGGCACCATTTGAGTTGATTTATAGGTGATACTACAAGAAATCCTTTCATTTGTTGTTTCTGCGTTTATAGTAAGTGGATCCTTCATAATACTGGCTAAAGCTGCTCTGTTGCTTTGATCTTATTTGTTACTGCTTTGATGTTTTGATTTTACTTCTTGTTTCTGGTTTAGATGCTTTGAATTTAATGTCCTGCCCATGAATCAGACATGAGAGATTTCCCTTTCTATCAGCTTAACCAACTGTGTTTTATGTGTTAAGTGCACGTGTGAGATGTGAATGCAGAGAACAATTTCGCATAAGATGCTTGGAGTGAAAAGGAGCAATATGATGCTCCCAGTTTAAGCTTTTTGACCTTCTTGGAACTCCCCATTATCCAAGTGTTGGACTTCGCTTACCCCAGGATGAGCACTCCGGCCATAAAACTTGAGTTTTTCACCAATTTACAGTTATAGAACCAGAGCAAACATTGTTCTGAGCAAGTGATGTTGACTTCTGTTTTCGCTATTTAGTAACTTAAATTGAGTTTTGGATAGAACGCTGGAAGAAAGTGATCCGGCTGACGAAGTTGGATGTCCTCAGAACTCCTAGCAATGTAACTTACTAGACTATCCTGGGCTAAAAGGATCTGTGTTCTAGAACTGTACATGCAGTTAAGTGCTCCTTGGAAACTTTGCTTAGTGCAGAGAGAGGACATGGAATATCATTTTTAATAAGATCCTTCCCAGATCTTCTGTGGCGAGAAGGGTCTCCACTACAATACAAGTACACATCTTGAGCATGTTTTGCAAGTATCATATTCATGTTCTAACCGAACAACCTTAACTGTTGATTCGATTAGATTTTACATTTTACCTTTTTATTGCCCAAGTGCCACTTTAATCCTTTCAGGTGCTTCCTTAATCTCTCCCTTTATATGATTTGACCATTATATTTTCCATGCTCCTGAAAGGACTTACGATCTGTCTAGGAACCTGGAGAAGCTGAAGAAGACTTTGCACGAGCTGACATCACAAAACTTATGAAGCTATTTCTCACAAGCCGTAATCCAAAACCGCCTTGTGTTCCAAAAGAAATAGGGTTTTCAGGTTTGGCCAGCTCTCGAGATAAATTGCCCCCCTGGTTGTCAGAGGAAGACATCAATTATTATGCCAGCAAATTCAGTCAGAAAGGCTTCACGGGAGGATTGAACTATTATCGAGCATTGAACTTGTAAGTTTCACCCTATTCAATTGGATTGGAGGCAGTTGTCTGTCAGATTGATAATCGCAATATTATGAAAGAAGGGTAAGTATCTTCCCGACTTGGGCTAGAAGGTTTGCCTGATAGATAGTATAATTTATAAAGGCAGGGCTGAAGTCTAGTTTTAACCCTTAATCAACAGTCCTGTTGAACACTGTCCTCTCTTTTGCGTAATTTGGATCCAACGTTGCATTGTTCTCTTTGGAGCCTCTTCACGAGTTGAGATATATCATCCTATGTGGTTTGCTGTAGAACTTGAGTTTAGACCTAGTGAAAAGTGATTTGCTAGGTAACTAGCGAAGAGATGATACCTTTCTTGTTGCAGAACCTGGGAGCTGGCCGCGCCATGGACTGGAGTGCAAATTAAAGTGCCAGTTAAATTTATTGTTGGGGACCTCGACGCTACCTATCATATACCCGGTGTTAAAGAGTACATTCACAATGGCGGGCTCAAGAAACTTGTGCCGTTCTTGCAAGAAGTAGTCGTGATGGAAGGAGTGGCTCATTTTCTCCAGCAAGAAAAGCCAGAGGAAGTTAGCAATCACATTTATGACTTCATCAAGAAATTTTGAGTTTTACGCCTTGGAGAGTTTTCTTTGAGGAAGGAGAAGTGAATAGTTTCATCTCAGTCTCCACAAAATAACTAGAACGTTTGCTGAGGATGGGCGTTGGTGTTTCAGTTGCTGCTTATTTTAGCCTGGTTCAGAGTTAATGTATTTTTCTCACTTGTATAATGTCGTTCTTGTTACGAGGACAAGAGAAGTGAAATGATAGGATCTGCACTTTGTCAAGCTACTTATTATGAACACCCCGTAAGTAGAGATGGTCAAGAATTAAACTCCTTGATTCCATACACGAACTCACACGGTTTCATCTTTTCATGCTTCGCACTAAATGCACGCCCCGATCACATTAAGTTGGGCATAAGGATATTACTAGAGTCCAGTGCTATAATTTTCTTGAGCGCCATAACATTTTTTTTTTCGATCACTTGAGGTCCATTAATTTTAGAAAATGTTCACCACAAATGCTATGCCATGTCAGATTGGTGGCATTTCATGTCGCACAAGTAATCGAAAAAAATTTATCGCACTAAAATGAATGTTTTTTAGAAGCCATGGTATTAAAATGATTGAAAAAAAAAATTATGACACTTAAGGTGAGCTCCGTACAAAAGTTACGATACTTGTGTAATGTCTTTTTCCCCCGTTAAGTTGCTAGGACAGTGGGAGGTGGTGTTATTTTGAGGCATGATGGTCCCTTGATTCTTATTTTGTGGTTCGAGGCAGCCTTTGTTGTATATTAACTTCATATGTTAGGGGCAAATGAGCAGCTTTCCAAAATATTCAGGAAGCAAACCGATGTTAAAACAAAGAGGTGTGGAATCTGTCTCCGTGTAATAAGTTAATTGGGAGTTGTTCTTGTAAATTTTGTCTCCTCAATTTTTCAGACCGATTGTGATTGTTAGTAGAATGGCATGTGCTCGCTGGACGACGAAGATTTGGTAGGGTATATTATGAGATAAAGTTGCTCGCTTCATGGCCTTATACGAGATAAGATCTACCCTAGGCGCTTTCTTAAGAAAACAGTCTAACCTGTATGTTTTTTCTGGCCATCTTATCCTTTTTTTTTTCCTCATTCTTCTCTTCTATGTACATGTGTGTGCAGTACTGACAGGGATCGAACTCCAGACTTGGTATTCTCCGGTCCCGCCCCCTAATCCCTTTACTAGTAGGGCCGCATGCTTGTTGGCAGCCATCTTGTCCCCGAATGAACCTCTAATGATCGATGTTTAAAGTCAAGAGTGCGTCTGAGAAAGAAAGGTCATTCCAACGTGCGCGTATATGTAGGGGGAATGAGGTGGGCTTCTTCATTGGGCCTCAAGCTGCGAGCAATCTAGCAAAGCCGGTCGGTGAGCCTTGGACCTTAAGTCTGCATTTTGGGCTTTCTATTGGACATTGCGAGGCCCCTTTATAATAGAGATTAATTACGTCTCCGTATATGGCAAGTGTTAGTATACGACATCTATCTACTCAAGATCAAGAAGATGACATGAACCCTCATGTTCATGCATTCCTCTGGCAACTGGCAAGAATAGGTGGATAATCGCCGCATGCAAGTGTCAAAGCGATCTCAGACGTGGCACGAGCATGTGTGCTCTGAGGAAATTTTGCCAAAAAACGAATCTGCGACTCGACTGCTCTGCCTCAGATCATACTGTCCAAAACGATCAAGAGTACTGTGATGCAGTCGATGACAATTGTGTGATCCGTGAAGCGAATGAAACGAAAATCTCCACGCCCTCTCCATCGCATTTCCCGGTCATCGAACTTCCATAAGCCTTCCTCGTCGATTCTTTCCAAGCCAAGAATCGTCAATCTTCGGCCATCGGAATGCATGTCTCGGACCGAGTCTCTTTGCGCGACCTTCTTCTTCTTTTTCTGGGTTGCCATCCTCTCGGCACCGGTCGCCTCCTCCAATGGCAAGGAGCGTTCGCCGTCAGCGTACGAGGTGCTCCAGTCGTACGGGTTCCCGGTCGGCCTCCTCCCGAAGGGCATAACGGGGTACGAGCTGGACAAGGCCACGGGCGAGTTCACGGCGAGCCTGAACGGCACGTGCAGCTTCACGCTCGAGAACTCGTACCAGCTCAAGTACGAGCGGACGATCGAGGGGGTGATCGAGAGGGAGATGCTGAGAGGGCTGAAGGGGGTGAGCGTGAAGGTGACGGTGGTGTGGCTGAGCATCGTGGAGGTGGTGCGGCAGGGGGGCAAGCTGGAGTTCTCCATCGGGGTTGCGTCGGCGGGATTCCCGGTGGAGAACTTCGCCGAGTGCCCGCGGTGTGGGTGCGGGCTGGCCTGTGATGCCACGGCGAGTTCCGGGCTTCCTCTTCTTCTTCTTTGTCGTCTTCGTAGGTGTGTTCGTGGTTTGAGTCTGGAAGCAAACGATGGATGCACGTGCCGTCGTTGAAGTCTCTCTTGTAATTTCGTTGCATCAACTTGTACGGTTTTGTGATATGTGCGCTGTGACTGAACGAGCTAATGGTGCGTATTCAGAGAAGTAGCATTTGAAGCCCATAAACAGAGGATTTCTAGTAATATAACCATTAATCAATTGAATCATGGCGTACGTCCGATGTTCTGTATTACTCTAGGAAGGATCGAACAAAAATTCATCGCCAACAACTAGTGAGCGCGACTCTTTCTTCATGCGAACGAAACGATAACGGAGCCTCATTCACACATATCTGCCAAACCCCACTCGTAAAAATCATTCCTTCTGCCTCAAGAGCTCTGCTCGCAGCTCAGCCACGTCGATCTCCTCGATGCTGTTCTCGGGTCTGTAATGCCCTGTTCTCGGGTCGGGTGCCCAGGAAACCTGCCCGTCCGACCTCGCCATCTTCTCCTCCTCCCCTGTGTTCTTCACCGCCGCAGCACCGCTCCTCGTGGCGCCACCGGCTTTTGCCACTTGGGCCGTCGCACCTCGTGCCGCCGCCGAATACCCGCGCCTGTAATTTCGAGAACATTAAGCACGGATCGGGTCAGTGACTGGAATGGGGTTTGTTCGGGAGATGGAAGGGGGACGCATGGGAAGCGCGCGGTTTACCTGGCAACGGTGTTCGAGATTGCGTCGGCGGCGAAAGCGGAGAGAAGCTTGGCGCTCGAGAAAGATCGAGCCATGACAGGGCAAAGATTCTGAAAATCCTAAAGAAACCTTCGCTTATTCGATGAAAATCTTTCCTCTCTCGATCCCTTCTTCTTCTTCTTCTTCTTCTTCTTTCTGTGACGATGACAAAAGGACGTGCGTGGGAGATTTTTTTATAGAGCCGAGACAGACGAGAGAAACGAATCTGCTGCTTCTTCTTCGTCCACGAGGATTGATGGAGATCAAAAGGGACCAGGTCAAAAGCAGGCCTTTGCGGCGAACCATCTGTGTCTACAAAACAAAGCTCATCGTGCGTTTATGCGTCAACGACGCTCTTCCGGAGCATTTGTTCTTGGCTGGTCAAGCGACTTTCTTCCCAGGGTCTCTCGGACAGAGGATCAGTCATATGGGCAAATCCATGAATGATTACGATCTAATTCGAAACTGAATTGCTCCCGGCATATGAACTAACTAACCTTTGATTACTTCCAAAAAAGGTATTTGTGTTTTCAATATACAATCATAAGGATTTTGTAGTACCTACAACATTTATATCTAACATTTTACGGACTACCCACTTATAGTGAGTTTGGTAATCATTTTGTTTCCGAAAACAATTTCTGCTCAGAAATGATTGTTTTTTATTTTGTTCCCGAAAATAATTTCTAAGCATTTGAAGGCGTTTGGTAACGGCCCAAAATTCCCATTCTTGGATAGAAAAAGAACATAAATGCGCCGCATAAAATTTCTTTTTATTAATAATATTTTAATAATTTTAATATTTCTTTCTTTTTTCTTTTTTTCTTCTTCTCCTTCTTGGCCATGGCCGGTGAGGGCGTCGTGGCCCTAGCCTGTCGTTGACTAGGAAAGAAGAAGAACGGAAAAGAAGAAAAAGAAAAAAAAATCTCTTATATTTCTGATTCTTGTTCCCAGAATTAAGTATCAACTTTTTTTTATTCTTGATTCTATTTCAAAACTGATTTTGGAAACAAATTTGTGTCTGGGAACAAAAAATTTACCAAACAGATTTCTATTCTTTTTTTGCTCCCGGGAACAAAATAGAATCAGTCAATATACCAAACACACCCTTAGTGACCCTTCCCCAAGAATTCAGCTAGAAGCAATTCTAATTTAAGCCACACCACATAGGGATGTCAAGAACCGAACCAAAACCCGAACCGAAACCAAAACCGAAAATTCTGAATTTTTCGGTTCAACTTTATTTCAGTTCAGGTTATGGGAAAATAAACTGTTTTTTTTTTCGAGTCAATTCAGATCGGATTGATTCGGTTCAGGTAACCAATATAAATTTGGTTTTTTATAATGTCTGTCTCTCTTCTTCCTCATCTCCAATTCTAGCTTTTGTCTCTTTTAGGCTCATCTCTTGTCTTCCTTTTCCCTTGGTTTTTGTTTCCAGAGTTCAAGTTTGTCCCGAGACATTCCTTTGAGCAATTATGCCTGAAGCAGTGCCTAGAGGATGAAGCAGGATAGCGACCTTGAACTCAGGAACATAGCCTCCATGACCCATCGAGCATCCAGATCTGGAGGCGACTCCACCAAATCGAAGGAGATGACGACATGTCGAGGTCTTGTGTAGCGGGCGGCCGAGAGGTGGTGCTATTGTGGCGTTGAGTTTTCGTGTGTTGTGGGTGGCTGAGAGAGGGGACTCCGTTGTTGTGGTGGCGGCGGGAGCAAGAGTGGCGTGGCGGAGCTCAACAGTGAGACGATTGCCGGAGGTGATGGGTCAAATTTGTCTGTAGTGGTGGTGGTGGTCAGGACTCAGGAGAGGATTGCTTGACGCCTCCATGATTCCGTCAATGGGGACGAAGGGGAAGCAGTCGAAGGAAAAACCCTATTTCGTCCCGCTCGCCAAAAAAGAGAGAGAAAACCGAAATCTGATCTGATTTGAGCCGAATCGAACCGAACCGAACCAAACTGAATTTTTTGGTTCGACCATATTCGGTTTGCAACTCGGTTCGGATCAAAATATAAACACATTCTGAACTGCGGTGTTCGGTTCGGATTTTCAGAAAATCCGAACCGAACCGAACCAATTCTAATTTAAGCCACACCACACCCCCCGGAAATGTTTAGTTCGGTGGAAGTTTATGATTCTGACATGGTCTGGTGATCTAAACTTTTTGAGTACCGATAGAGTTACAATGAACACAACCGCAAATGATTTGAAAACTTCAAAAATCACAAGATCAAGCGTTTAAATCAAAAGCGATCAAGCGTTTATCTTAAAAAGAGCCGAACGTTTCTCCAAGTACAAAAATTTTCAGCTCAAGTATCAGGTAAAAAAAAAATAAAGTTCCTTGGAGGGATTCTAGATAATTATGATATGCATTCAAAGTATAATTTTCCTATCTTTTCTCCAGACACCAACGAAATGTATTTTAATACGAATGAGTTCCTCCGTACCTTTCATTTTGGCGTGCCTTGGGATTCTATATCGCCTCATCTCTGTCCCTCAAGCTAGTGAGCTAGTCTCCCTGACTCTAGGATGGATTTATATAAAAAAAAATCATTGATAACTAATTGAGAGTAAATTTAATAAAGTGATGTGAAAATAATTTTGATTTTGAATTTCGAAAAATTAAACTTTTTTAGGCTGTCTTTGCTAATTCGGAATTGAGTCTAGATAAGATAACAAATTATCATATATGATATTTGGCGTCATCCTCCGGATTGTACAAACAAGAATATGCTTGGATAAAATGCTTGGTAAGAAATTCGGAAAGATGGTGAGATAAATCCAAATTGGATAAAAAAAATTAAGAGAACTTAACACTACTATCTTCCCATGATAGAGCAATGGAGTAATGCATTTCGATATTGTTTCGCCAACCATTGCACGAGAACCACTACCACGACAGCCGATCGTCGTTACTTTTGACCACCACCCGATTGTCGTCACCTTCGTTCGTGTTTTGGTGACGAAGGGTGAAAAGGTGTCCGCACCAGAATCGAAAACCGTGCATGCATAGTGGACTTGTTGGGTAGATTTGGATCCCTTGTCGAAGCCTTTCAGTTTATATCTTATAGATTCAATGCCTTTTAGGGGTGATACACTAGTCTAGCGTACAGTTCTTTGAGCTTGCCGATGGTCTAGCGTACAATTCTTTGAGCTTGCCGAGTTCACGGCAATGTTGAACTTGCAAAGCAAGTTGCTGCTTATATTTTGCTATCAAATATGTATGCCTCGGCAGGTCTATGATAAGTGTAGCAGCAATCAGAAAGAAGATGAAACTGAAAAATCTTACGAAAGAAATTGGTTGTAGCAAGATTCCAAGTGAAAAATATAGTTCATAAGCTCAATGTGGGTGACATTTCACTCCCAAAGGCACCAAAGATCCATGACGAACTGAACCAATTGGCTCGGCGAACAAAGGAACTGGTGTATGTTCTAAATACTGAATTTGTTCTTTAGGATGCGGAGGAGGTACAAAAGGAAAAATGTTTGCTTAAGTTACCGTTATTTCTAGCCTTACAGCACCTCCATTCTGACATTTATTAAAATTTGACCAACGACATAGACAAGGGATCCACATGAGGTTTCCCTAGACAATAGCGACCATGAGAAAGTCAATTGAGAGGGTAATGGATAGGACATCAAACTCAGGGCACTACGGGAAGTATTGGATGTGGCGGGTGGTGGCCGAAGCAGTAAGGAATTTCTAATCCTACCTTATCTTACTGTATCCCAATCTGAATTCGGATTTGGTACATTAGATATAAATCTGGATAGGATAATTTATATTATATCCGGTGTTTGGGGGAACACACAAATCGGATATACCTGGATAAAAAAATCTAATCTAGAGGGTGGAATATACCTAGATAAGATAAGAATTCAACGTAGAGAAAATCATGTACAAGTTTTCACCTCGAAGACTATCGAAAACCAGTGCACAACCTCAAATCTGAGGTTACCGGCCTCAGGGGACTAGATTTAGGATCACCTGAGGCTGGCCCTTGACCTTGATGTCGGTTGCGGCCTCTATTGTCATGGCCAACGTTGAAGGACATGATCGCAAGCTCACATTGTATCCTTCAAAATTGGGGTTGCCAATGGGGACTAATAGCTGCGAGCTGGCATGAGATCCTTTTATTTGGGTGATTGGCGAATGACCATTCCCGGTCCAAGCTTATGGCAAACTGGGCAACGCGAGGTTATGATTCATGGCCATGTTTGTTGGGTGTTGGTCCGGTGAGAGAGAGATTGATGAATGACGGTATAAGAAGATGAAGGTAGATGAGGATGGAGGTGCGCGTGACTTTATGGGCTGTTTGGTGTTGAGTTGACAAACCTTGGCATTGTCGATAAAGATCAGTAAGAAAAGTGGGTGAAAGGGAATCTGATGGCGTTGTAATGATGACAAGAAGATAAGGCTCACTGGAATTTGAAGTTGCAGGACATACGACAATGGTAGATTGAGGGAGAAAAACCGAGCCACCCTCCCTTGTATGATCCCTTTTTGATTTTCTTTTTCGTTTTTTCCTCTCACGTATGCATATTGAAGTCCTTGGAGAACTTTCGAGAAACTTGTGAGGCCCCCGATTTGGATGATGCCGTCATTGTGCGGCATGAAGAAGATGGTGTAGTTGACAGTGGTTAAAAGCGACAAATTTTTTCGAGGCAGTTCTTTCAGTATTCATATTGTATTCGGACATTTATCAAGCACTGAACATCATATTATAAATCCCATCGGTATCCTATTCGAACTTTATCCTGTCCTACCTTATTCTATTCGAAAAAAAATAAAATCCTAATGATCAAACGTAGTCTAAAGGTCTGGGGTGGGACCACCCGGACAAGAAAATACCAGTAATTTACCAAAGACGGTCTTTTGATTGGACGGGCTTCTCATTTGGGCAATGAACTGGGTTCTAAATTAGCGAAGGCCCATTGGACGAGGGCTGGGGGGGGTTCGAGGCCCATATCTACGGCCCAAATCGAAACCTCTGGTTTCGTCTCGTCGACATCGCTCCTCAGACCAATACCCACCGGGCGAGAACCATAAACCCTCGACAATTCTGAAGGTCAGGTCAGTGTGGCTTCCCACTGCTGTGACTGATCTCTCTCTTCGCTCCTCGGTCCGAGCTCGAAAATCCGACACAGGTTCGCCTCCGACATCCCTCTCCGCCAGAGTTCGGAACCGGAGCCAGCGAGGGAAGAGCACGATGGCGGAGGCCAACAGCAACAGCGAAGTCTCTCCCAACATGACCATTTACATCAACAACCTCAACGAGAAAATCAAAATCGACGGTACGTGCGGGCGAACGCAAGCCCTGGGAGGGGCTAGCTCGCGCCCTTTGTTTATTCGGCATCCCGCTGTGTTGAATTTGAGCGATCTTGTCTCTTCGTGGGTTCTTTTTGCAGAGCTGAAGAAGTCGCTGAGGGCGGTGTTCTCGCAATTCGGGGAGATATTGGAGGTTCTGGCGTTCAAGACCCTGAAGCACAAGGGTCAAGCTTGGGTTATCTTCAAGGAAGTCCAATCCGCCACCAGTGCCCTAAGGCAAATGCAGGACTTCCCCTTTTATGATAAGCCCATGGTAAGCCTTTGCCCTTTGCTTTTGAGGAGAGGCTCTTCACGAAGATCTGATCCTCTTGTTTTATGGCGCGATATGCTGTTTTATTTTTGTGCTTGCTGCTACTATGAGGAGTAGCAAATTTGTTTTGATTTGCGGGGGAAACATATTATACAATTGCTTCTTTGATCTTTGCTTGATCGAATCAGAATCTCTGAGGGCTTATTTGAATCCGGGACGTTGTCGCCAAAGATGATGGGTATGTCAATGCTGAGAAAGTAGTGGGATCGGCATCGTCTCTTTGGTTTGATATCCTACTCATGTTTTGTCATCCAAAGGAACTCCATGTCTCTGTCTAGAAATCCTACTAAGTAACTCTGGATGAGTCTAATTCCCTTTTTCCCTGACAAAGAAGTTACACACTGGAACATGTTCAGCGGCAGAGGCAGTTGCTATTGGTCATAATCACAAACACTCATGGGAGCTTATTGTTTTGCTGCTTGCATGCATGAAACAGGCAACTAAACTACAACATGAGGGCTATCTGACATGATATTGGATAAATAGACACATAGGGCCTAATTGCGATTATTTAGTTGCAATTCTCTGAACTGTCTTGCCCCATGGATGGATCAGATGACAGTTGCAAATCCTAAATGCTGGTTTTCCTTTGAAATTTGGTGTGATTTTCAACAGTCAGTTTTGCTGTTTATCCCCTTTGTTGCAGTTGCTGCACTAGTAGCAACTTGCTGTCTATGCTTCTTCGTTTACAAGGACATCCAAGTCTTTTACCGGTGGATTCCGTTTTACTTATCTTATAGAAAATATAAACAAGAAGAAAAAGTTGGCTTTATGTGCAGAAGTTATTACTAGCTGCCATTGCAGAACTCTAATTTGCCGCTGTAACTTTCATATGGTGCTGTTCTTATGGCATGTGAACCTTATTGAATTTCAAGAATGCTGAAATATGATTGATGACTAGTACTATGCCATCTTCTCTCTTATACTTTTCTGCGATAGTGCAACTGTAGCTTCATACTATAATTAAGCACAACAGGGGAGAGGAAAAAAGCAAACTTCATTTCTTGATCAGATACAAAAACTGATAGCTTTGACCCTTTAATTTGGCTATTGATTATATTTTCACCCAGAGAGATTTTACATGTATCTTCAGTTTTTTAGAGAGCCATCTAGTTATTTAAGGGCGTGGTTAGATAGGCTTATATTTTTACCATTTGCTTAATCTAAATCTTGCGGCGGACACAGTTTAACTTTATCTTGGCTCAAAGCTTGAAACTTTTGCAATATACAAATGCTGACACATACATTTATTTATAATTGTTTATAATTTCTTTAAAATTTGTGTAGTATTTACATTTTTGCTTGAAAATGAAAAGTTGCTACTTACTTTTAAAAAAACATAAACAAATAGGCCCTAAGTCTAAAGATCATTCTTTCCAGTGATTATTGTTATTAATGAGCTATATACTTATCCCTTTTCATATACTATCCGGTTTCTTTGTGCAAATATTTTTATTTCTTCCCCCCTTTTGGACATTACTGGCAATCATTATGATGCTAATCATGTTGCTCTTGTGGAAAACCACTGACAGTGGTCACTGTTTGGTTTTCTGGTTTCCTATCATTCTGTTCCGGTCCTGTACTTTCAGTTTTGAGTTTGTCGAGATTAGTTGCCTGTTTGATATTGAAGTTGTCTTTATATTTGGGACTTCTATGTGCTTGTTTAAGTCTACAGTGATAGATATATTTTAATTGAACAGAGAATACAATATGCAAAGACGAAATCAGACATAATTGCAAAGGCTGATGGTACTTTTGTTCCTCGTGAAAAACGAAAGAGACACGAGGAGAAAGGTACGCAACTTTTTCATGCATGCATGATGTGATTATTTGAAGGTAGCCTTTGGCAATTAAGATTTCGGAGTCCAGCTTACCGTGCCTTTTTGTTGCTACCTGTATGGTGCATGCTAAATTTTATGTTTGTAATTTGATTTCTTTCTTGTGACCTGAAACTTCGGTTTTGATACAGGTAAAAAACGAAAGGATCAACATGATGCTAATCAAGCTGGAGTTGGTGTGAATCCTGCTTATCCTGGTGCTTATGGTGCTATGCCTCCTGTAAGCATTTTTTCTATTTCATGAGGATCTTATGCTGCTTTTTCTGTGAAATTTGTTTGAGTAAGATGATTAACACTGTGAAGTGCCCAGCTTTTTTCCCTGTTCATTGTACATAAATTTTAAAACCAGAACAGGATGAGCTATAGGAGGAAGTTGGGAATTCTGCTGCTTGTCTAACCTCTAGCCAGCTGAGATGATGTTGGCCCTCTTTTAGTTGATTTTGTTCTAGTTGATCATCATAAGTGCATATCCAATTTAACTTTTTGGAAAATCAGTGAAAACCTTTTGCTTCTGCTTAATCCTCTATTATAGGAAACTCTAATGGTCGCACTATCCTTAATTTCTCAAGCTCTGTGTACATGTTTTCCTTTATAAATTTCTCAATTGCAGACATGAAATGAAAATCTAGTTTAGAAATTATCACATGCATCTTCCACTCAGTGGGTGTGACATCCTTCCCCTTCAAGTTCTGTACTATCCAATTGAGCTCATGGTTCTACTTGTAGTCTTTATGCTAATTTTTGGATTATGCTTTGTTTATGGCTGTAATACTTCTCCGGGATGACTGAAGAGTATTTGAGCCCTGTTCGGCACATTACTTTGGCTCAAAATGCTTTCTTAAAGCTATTTTCTTTACCGTGCATGAACAACTAAATGGCCAGTCATCATAAACCTGCCGAGTAGTGGCAGGACAATAGCAATTTTTTATTTTCTTTTTATTGGTAAAATGCTGAACCTTTGGAAGCAAAATCCCACTTCCTTAATTATTTAGAAATGAGCTAAAAGTCAACTTTAATTAGATTTGTTAATATTTCAGCTGTTTGGATTTTCATTTAGTGATCAATTTTAATTAATGGAACTTGTCTTGAAAGCTAAATACAGTTACCTACCATTCAGTTGCTTATCCTCCAGTTCGTAACCGACAATTCTATCTCTTGAATGATGCAGCTATCACAAGTACCGTATCCAGGAGGTGCAAAAGTTCCAGAAGCTCCAGCTCCGCCAAATAACATACTTTTTGTTCAGAATCTTCCTCATGAGACGACTCCAATGATGTTGCAAATGCTCTTTCTTCAATACCCTGGTTTTAAGGAAGTAAGGATGGTGGAAACGAAGCCGGGGATCGCATTTGTTGAGTACGGTGACGAGATGCAATCGACGGTCGCAATGCAGGCGCTTCAAGGTTTCAAGTTAACCTCGCAAAACCCAATGTTGATCACTTATGCAAAGAAATAGAGGGCCGACTTCTCACTGCTTCTTTCTGCGATAATGCATCTTGTAAGAAGAACTCTTAATGTAGTTCGGCTAATCTATCTTTAGGGTTTGTGAAATACTGTCTGATAGGATGTCTAGCATTCTTGTATTACTGTAGATTTTCTCTTTCTGATGTTCTCTTCATTTATGCAATATCATTTTGAGGGAACTGATTCAAGTTATTCGGATCAATGGTTTTGAGCTATCAACCGTCTAGGAACTCTTATACAATGGACCTGCTCTTATTTATCTAGATTGCATTTGCAGTATATCAAGTTGCCATGCTACCTTTCTTTGTCTTCGTGGAAGATCAAGAAGGCATTTTGTGCACCAGAAAAGATCATAGGCAGGTCACCTTCGTCTGCCAAAGCCTTTTTTTGTGCTTCATGTTCCTAAATGTAAGAGCCCCACGAGCATTTAGACACATGAAACGGTACATGTATTCAGGGTCTGGGCTGATTGCACAACTTCACCGGGACGAGAAAAATTGTGGAAGGCTCGTGATTTTGGGCGCTTCTACAGTGCAAGTTGATCTTTGGGATGCGCCCGCAGTTGCCCTTTCTCGATTCTCCCCTGCTGTCGGGATTTAGGAATTTTGCGCACATGCCTAGGACGGAAAAATATGGATAACTGCTTAAATTTGAGGATTGCGGTGTGCGACTGAGTGAGGGTTCCAACTGGGCGCGAAGATGATTATTATATGTGATGTCGCGTGATGTTGATTGTGCTATACTGCTATGTGACTAATTCGTAATGGGGATATGCATTACCTAATGTTCTTGCTAGAAAGAAACTCAGTGAGAAAAAAGCACAATCTTGTTAACGAGTATTTTAGGTGTTAATTTTTTTAAAATTGAAAAGAGATGGTTAATCTAACTAACTTATAATTAGTCCATTGAAAATCAAATCATTTTCTATAGCACCCTTTTATTAATTGCGAATTGCTATTAGGTTCCCTAAACAAGAGTCCTCTATGTGGAGGCCCGGCCCGAGCAATTCAGGCTCGACCGGTTCAACTCGCTCGCCTCGAGTCGGTCCGAAGCATAATTAAACCGACCCACCGGTCCAGTAAATCTGTATTCTGTAAGGGAGGGAGACGCCAATTCGCCGCCAAATCACTCGCACAGAGCAGGGCCGCCCCCCTTTCCGCCGCTCCGAAGCCTCTCCATCATGGTGGAGAAGAAGATGAAGAGCCGCGGCTCGGAGAGACCGAACAAGAAGCGCAAGCAGCAATCCATGTCCAAAACCCTGCCTAAGGACAAGAACCACAAGAAGAAGCAGCACATGGACAATAGGAAGAGGACCGGACCTCGCTTGCCGAACGCACTGAGGAAGGAGCTCGAGCGGCTGAACCCTAGCCGTCCGTCGGACAGCGAAGGCGAGGAGATCGATTCCGACGAGGCGGAGTTGGGCAACGGCCGCGACGTGTACGAGTACGAGGAGGAGGCGCCCCAGGAAGAGTCCGGGAGGAACCGCAGGTTCGATCCGGTGGACAATCTGGAGTACGAGTTGCCTGACGAGTTCGAGGTGATTGAAATTTGTTCGCTCTCGGTTTTCTTAGGAAGGAAGCGAATTGGCCATCCTTGAGTTGATGCAGTTCCTGCTTAGCTTTGTTGGTGCTGGGGTCAACTTGTTCTCCGTGATATGAACTGTTAGGGGTTCTGTTAGTTTGGAAATAAATTGGTCGTTCCTTTTGCTTTTTGTTGGTTTAGAAGCGAATTTAGTTGGCAATGCTTGGACCTTTGAGGAGTTTAGGGTTTACCTGAGGTTTTGGTTTGCTCTAGAACGTGATTTATTTGAGAGCTGACGTTGAAACTGTGCCGTCAGGTGTTTTGGTCATTGCTAAAGTAGGATTTCTCTCTTCAAACTTTTTCCTCCTGCAGGACGAGAATATTTCATCTGATGATGACGAGGATGTTGGCCGCAGTGATGGGGCAGATCCGTCCAATGCCGAGGCTGAAGATGAAGATGAAGGAAGGCACATCAGAATGTTGCAGGAGATCACTGGAATGCCAAGTGAGACATTTCAGGGTAATGGCTTTCCCTCTTCCTCTTACTTATTGGCAGTGAAGTGGATCTCCCATGACTGAAAATTTAAACGTCCATGGCCACGTGATTAGATGGTTACAATTATGGCATTTTCATGGCTTAGTCAATATGCTTGTACATTGTATACTCTTCAGTGTTGGATCTTCATTACTTAAAAGTTTAGCGACAATGGAGTTGATGTGCGGTGAATGTTATTTCTCAGGCAAGAAGAGGAAAAAGGGTGATCTTGTTGTGTCAGAGGCATATCCGGAGTCCGAGTTCAATCCTAGCCATGATGTGGGGGATGGTGATGGCCGCATTACCATTCAAGATCTTCTTGACCCTCTTCATGGAAAAGCTGGTTATAGCAAGCTTAGAAAGAGGACATCTCAGATGGAAAAAAAACCCATGTCTATTCAAGCTCCACTTCCCAAGCCATATAGAGAGAAGTTAGAGAGGAAGGTTGCATACGAACAGTCAAAGAAAGACATAACAAAGTGGGAACCTTTGGTAAAGAGGAACAGGGAGGCACCCACTGTATATTTTGATCAGGACGTAGACTTGGGGTTTTCAACTGTTGGGGCAATAGCTTCTGAATTTGAACCAAGAACTGAGTTTGAGAAAAAAATCGCTTCATTAGTTCATGACGACAAGGTTAAAGAAGCACACGAAAAAGATGGTGCCAGGCTTCTTGAATTAAACAAGGTATTGTTTTTATTAAGGTTTCCTATTTTGTTGTAATCTTGATTTTTAATTACTTTTGTCCCGCAGTTTGATTCCTGCAGTCCTTCCTATGATACATAATTTTCCACTGTATTTACAAGTCTTGGACTTGTGTGTTTTCTTCCAGAATGGCTGTTTGTTTGGCAAGTTGATGCCATCAAGGATCATTATGTAGTCTTCCGAAGGAGGCTTCTTGGGTAGCTAATCCCAATTTTTAATAAATGTAGACATTATTGGTAAATACTAGTTTTCTCCCAAACTAAGCTCCTAAAGAAACCATCATTAGATTCAGGAGAAAGGGGTGATAAGTTGTGGAAAGTTTCTGTATGCACTGTTCATTAGTAAACAATTCGGTTGTTAAAATGTTGTGGTGGTGGCGTTCCCCTCACCTAGAACTGAATAGATTGCTTCTATAACAGACTTATTTTTAGATGTAATTTTCCAGTCAGTAGGATGTCTGTGATTTGGTTTATGTATGTGCTTTCATATACCAATGGTCATGCTTGTAGGTATGCAGTTGCAGGATATGACAAACTCTCTATGCTTTCGATCTTTTACTTCTTAGATTGACTTTATTAGTTGCTTTCAAGTAGTGATTTATTCATTTGGTAAACATTGCATTGAATTGAAATTCTCTCTCCCAAAATATTGTTTTCCAGACATCAATTGAAGATGAAAAGGAACGAAGGGATCGTATCGCTAAAATGCGCAGCCTTCTTTTTCGCCATGAGATAAAGCAAAAGCATATAAAGAAGATTAAATCGAAAACTTATCATCGATTAATGAAGAAGGATAGACTGAAAGCTACTTCTTCACAAATTGAAATGGATCCAGAAGCTGCTAAAGAGCAGGCAATGAAGCAAGAGTTCAAACGGGCAGAGGTAATTTAATCACAAAACAAGCACAAAGAGATTCTTCCAAGTAAATTACAGAACTATCTGACTCATATGAGCTGCGACATCTGCTAATTTGGTACAGGAACGTATGACTTTAAAGCACAAAAACAGCTCAAAGTGGGCAAAGCGCATTTTGCAGCGTGGTTTGACTACCCAAGACGACGGTACTCGTGCAGCAATTGCAGAACAGCTTCACCAACATGCCTTGTTGACCAGGAAAATGAACTCCATGAAGGACAGTAGCAGTAGTGAGGAGAGTAGTGATGAGGACGATGATGATGAAAATTCTGCGGGCTCAGACCAAGATAAAGACTCCAATTTGTTGGCCAAAGCAAAGGAGAAGACACTCAAAGTATTCGAGGAAGATGACGAAATTCCCAACACTGGAGTCCTTTCTTTACCTTTTATGGTAATATCTTTGATTCAATCTTTTTTCTATTTGAAGAATAAGAAGCATGAACCTTTTCAGTTGCATGCAGAGAAGAGAAATCTAATAAATAGGTTATTTTTCTTAATGTCTCTTGAAGCGTGCAATTGTTATTAGCTTTCCATGCTAATACAAGATGCTGAGAGGAGTCTGATGCCCCTTTACATTATGGTTTCATGGTTTCAATGTGGAAATAGTTTTTCCCCAAATACCCAAGAGTGAAGCTCTTTGGATGTATGTTCTTGAGAGTAGTCTGATGCTCTTGAATAATCTTCATTGTTTAGGCACGCGGACTGAAGAAAAAAAGAGATGCAGCTGTAGAAGAAGCTAGACTTGCTCTTCAAGAGTATGAATCATCATCAAAGCAGATGGAGGATTCACAGGGAGTAGAAGATACTAAAGCAAATTCTGTGAAAGGTAGAATGGTATTTGGTGCAGTTAAGCAGCAGGCCCCCGGAGCAAACAAGGTTAGCAAATCAGAAAGAACTTATGATGATGGTGATAGCGAAGACGACATGGAGACCAGAGAACATATTGACGGTGGGAGCCACTCTGGGAATGACATGCAGAACGAAGTTCAAAATGGTTCTACTGTACTTCACCCTGATTCCGATACACATGATCATTCTGTCTTCAAGGTGGATTTGAACTTCTTTTTTTCTGCTTAAAGGTGCTCCTCTTTTCTGTATATCTGATGTGCTCCACAAATTCATATTTTCAGAGCTTTGATGATATTGTAAAGAACCCTGGTGCCAAGACAACATATGAAGTTGCTATATTTGCATCAGATGGATGGAGAAAGGTTATGTAGTAGTTGAAAAAATTTCAGTGAGCTATTCTTTGGAGTGGACCAAATTTCATGCTAACCCTTTTGGCGTGATACGTGCAGATGAAAGGCAGCAATAAAGTAGACTCTGCTATGGAAAAGAAGCAAGATTTATTGGAACCTGCTTCACAGAAGAAAGATTTGGAGGTTTGTGGAAGGGCCCTCACCCCCTCTCTACCTGCTCTCTCTCTCTCTCTCTCTCAAGACTAATGAATGAGCTTATGTAACTCTCTGTACAGGAAGCGAGTGGGGATAGTGATACTGAGAGTGAAGGACAGATGGTAGATGGAATATTATCTTCTGGCCCAACGCAATCGTATGAACTTCCTTCACAAGCGGAGCTTATTCGCCGTGCTTTTGCCGGGGATGATGTGGAAGAAGATTTTGAGAAAGACAAAATGGAGATTCTGAACGAGGAAAATCCTGAACCCGAGAAACCCATTTTACTTCCAGGTTGGGGCCAGTGGACCCATATCCAGCAAAAGAAAGGGTTGCCTTCTTGGATGTTGAGAGAACATGAAAATGCCAAGAAGAAGAGGGAAGATGCCCTTAAAAAGAGAAAGGATGCACATCTCAAGAACGTTATTATATCTGAAAAAGTAGATAAAAAGGTTAGTTTCTTTAGTGTTTGCCTCGTACTCATTTGTTTACTTCCAGATCATTTTCTTGTTTGCTATTACAACCAGCAGGCAGCAGCAGAATATGTGGCTTCATGTCAGAGGCATAGAATCTAACGGATGTATATAGTGTTATTATCTGGTTTTGAAATTCAGGGGTGCTTCATGTCAGACTCATGTAAGCGGATGTGTTCTTTGCTTGTTTGGCAGGCTGAGAAGCTACACACAAAATCATTGCCTTTTCCTTTCACCTCTAAGGACGTTTTTGAACAGAGTATTCGCATGCCCATCGGCCCTGAATTTAACCCAGCAACAACAATTGGAGCTCTGAATCGCCCTGAGGTATGTGTCCAGCTACCCCTCCCATACAGTTTATTTTCTTCGGAGAACTTTTCCTCTCTGTAACTGAGCAGTCGAGTTTAAGCCGAGTGAAAAGAGGACCGAATTTAATACGTAGTGTCGCAAGAAGGTTGACGTGCTCATTTAGTGGAATGGACTGGTTTCTCCTTATTTCCCACTGTGAACACACGCATGTAATGGGAACGTGCTTTTTTCTTTCCCTCTCACACAGTCAGTCGTTGACTGCATGTGCAGGTGGTGAAGAAATCAGGGACAATCATAAAGCCCATCAAGTTTGAGGAGGTGAATCCTCATGAAAAGGCAGAGTATGGGAATGAACAGAGGCATTCGAGCAAGAGGAAAAAAGCTGGCAAGAGCAATAACAAGAACATAGCTAAGGCAAAAAATTGATAGGAAATGCAGTTTAGTTTCTTCCTTAATGATTTTGATGATTATTTATTCACCCATTCTTGATGTAATTCCAGTTTTGAAAGCAGGAGAGGCTCAATGAAGCCTTTCCCAAGGGAAAGCTAAGTTTAGTTTTCCACTGAGAAGCGATAGTGACATTTTTTTTTATAGCCCTTGGGCATCCCCGTTTGTTCTGTATCTTATGATTTCTTACGTGGGCATAACGGCGAGCATCTTTTAAATTCTGCACTTCTATTTCGTTAGCAGGTATCTTCTAAAAGTGTCGCCATTAAATCCACTGTCCTCATGAGTAGAGATTGCGAGGTGTGGATGAAATTCATTTTTTAGCCAATTTTAATTAGACAAAGCAAAGAATAAATTCGGCAATAGAAAAAGAAAAGGCGCATATTGCTGGGGTCGGCAGAGGGAGGCTATCGCGATGGTGGTTGCTGCTGTTGGCGAGCCCTCTCCTCTCTAACTCCTTGTGATCTGTAGTTCTCCCTTCTTCGCTTTCTCTCTCTCTATGACCGTCTTGTGGTGGTCGTGGTCCTCTACACTCTAGCAAAGGTACAGCGACCATCTCTACACGGTCGGAGTGGCCGCAACCGCTAGTTAGTCCTCGACTAGCTTGGCATATCTTCACATTCCATTCTTACATCTGTTTACCCTTACGTTTTGTAAGTCTACAATTAACATCCCAACTTTGCATTTAACATTCTGTACCATTTAGGAATTTACTCAACTCCTCCTTTCTCGGCACCACATGTCGTGCCGTGGCCATAGTTGAGCTGCGGCCTATCGAGCTCTGCTGGCGTTGAACTCGAATTAGATCAATCAAGTTTGACCCAAAACTAAGTTGAGCTCCCTCAGTGTCAAAGCTGAACTCCAATCTATCGAGTTCAACTCTAAATCTGAGTCAATCTCAACTCGACGCAAACGGAGCTCGATCAAAATTTGGTGCCGGCCATAGTTAAGAAGAGAGAGACGCATACAACATAGTGAGAGAGAGACGTGCACAATGGGGCTCGGTCGGGATCGGTGGCGGCAATACGTTGGCTGGGATTGGTGGAGGGAGCCCGAGAGAGAGAGAGAGGGGAGAGAAAAAGAGAGCAAGGCGAGAGAGAGAGAGAGAGAGGGGGAAAAAGGTGGGAATGATTTGGGGTATGGACGGATTTAAAGATGGATTGGTTTTCTTGAATTTGTGGGTTTTGTTTTGAGATGTAAATTGTAGGTTTTTAAATTTCAGGATACAAATTGATATCGGAATTCGGGACACAAGTTGATATTGAGATAAAAAGTGGAAATAGTTTTTTGAAATTTTTTTTCATTTTTCTTTACGCAGTTTTCTTAATTCAGATTATCTTTTTTACAGTCAATCATCTAAAATCGGCGAGCGGGGCAATTTTTCCCCACTCGCCCTACTCTGCTCTTTGGTTGGGCTTCATGCATTCAAAAACACTGGGCTTCGTCTTCTTCTTCCTTCTGTCTTTTCCTCTCTGTCACTCTCTCTCTCTACACTCTCTCTTGATTCTGGACCGTGAGAAGGGAGCTTCGACGCCATGAGCTTCCGCAATTCTCTCTCATCAGGCAGCTTTCATCAGGCCATCGCTTCCCTCCTTCAACGCTCGCGGTCTCGCGCCGATCGCCGCTGAAGAAGAGAGGCGCGAGTAAACGATGTTGCACGAGCTCCTGCTCGCGCTCCTCGGCTGCACCGGAGATCTCATCGTCGACGAGCGAGAGCACCGGCGGTCCCTCGGGCTCCCTCTCTCTCCAGATGCTCCCATTTCGGACGAGCGCGCCTTCAAGCTCGCGCCCGATGTCTCCTTCATCGAGCCTAGCGAGAGGTACTTTGGCTCTGCTGTCCGTTTTTTGCTTTGAAGGAGCGGGACTGTGTTAGGGCATGCGATTTCTGAACACGAACCTCGCGATGTCTGTTGTGCTCCGCCTTTTAGGTTTCTTGTCTCGGTTTCTATGCGATCGCGTGTTGATTTCGCGGTAATAAGGTGCGAGTTCCTGCTGATGTCTCGCATGGAAAATTTAGGAAATGCTATGGTTTAGTGTGCCCGCGCATGAAAATGTCGTTGTTCAATGGCTATAGCGTTAAGGAATGTGGTCGCGAGTGGAGATTTTAGATTATGTCCCGAGCTGAGAAGGGAAGGTTACGGTGATGTAGACGGAAGGAGAATTTGTGTGATTCTGAAATGCTGCTTATGTACTTGATTTACTTCATGCGTGTCTGTGCTGATTTACTTAATGGAGCTTTGATCTTCATCAGTCCTCGCTAAGAACTGTTATGTCTGTCTTGGCGGCAAAAATTGTGATGTTGCAGGGATCTCATCGAGAGGCTCATCACACTAGGGTTCTATTATCGAGAGTTGGATAGGTTTGCCACGAAATCTCGAAATTTAAGCTGGATAAGGTCTCCAAACTTGTCTCCCTTGGAGAGAATTTCTGAGTTGTCAAAGAAGAAAGAAGAAAAACCGAGCGTTTACCGTAGGGCCATTGCTAATGGCATTGTTGAGATACTGTCAGTCTACAGGTCTGCTGTTCTGCACATTGAGCAGAAGTTATTGTCGGAATCTTTGCCCATTTTGGCCACTGTCACTCAAGGCCTCAACAAGGTTATATTGCTTGCTGAGCTTTGGGTCCGTGATATTAGTTTGTGTGATGCTTAAATCAACAAGAAAACTCTTAAACGTTTTCTGTATAATGGTTTCTCTTCCCAGTTTTATGTTCTCTTGCCACCCCTATACGAGCTCATACTTGAGATTGAACGGAATGATATTCGTGGAGGACAACTTCTAAACCTTTTACATAAGCGATGCCACTGTGGGGTACCTGAACTGCAGACATGCATTCAGAGGTACGTTTTCTGATGACTATGCGATGCATGATTTCTACTTGATATGTTTCTTGGTTGCATTTATATACAGCTTAGTGGATGGCCTTGCGACATTGCTGTAGATTTTTTGAAGGATGATGTGTTCCTTCCATTCTTGGGGAATTATTTGGATAAAAGTATTTGATAGTGGATTTGGTTCAAGGCTTGTAAACTTAATTTAGATATTCCTTAGGAATGCCGATAATGGTTAGGTGCTTGTTATATGACATACTCTATTTGCAATGTAGCAATCTCACCATCTAGTCGCATGGCCTCGTCCGCCGTTAATGAACTAAAGCTAATGGTGGCCTAAAAAGAAACTAAAGCTAATTGGCGCCTTTTGTTACAGGCTTCTGTGGCACGGACACCAAGTCATGTACAACCAACTTGCATCTTGGATGGTCTATGGCATCCTTCAAGACCAGTATGGAGAATTTTTTATCAGAAGGTACATACATGTACTGACTATTAACCGAGTTGCTTGGAAATGAACTTTTTTAGGTGGCCACCATTGTTAATGTTAAAGTTAATGGAAAACAATACTGGCTCAGATGGCCGATGGTTAAAGTGGATTTTTCTTTATATTGCTACCATGTCGTTTTGCCTGACTGACCTATCTAAACTGAATTGTGAGGTTTCGTATTATCATCACAATTTAACCAAGTTTCTGAGGGTACTCTGTTAGGGAAGACGATGTTGACAACTCAAGCGTAACTTGTGGAAGTATGACATAATTGTGCTCGGATATCCATTATGATGTGGAGCTTGTCTTTCATGGAATTCTAATTTATTTATTTATTTTATGTTGAATCACAGGCAGGAAGAGAGGGATGTAGATCATGGCTCAAGCCATGCAAATCTGTCCAGAAGATTGTCTCGTTTGTCAACTGATGATACTTCTTTGACGGATTGGCACCTGGGATTTCATATTTGTTTGGTATAGCATAATGATATTTTAGATGTTTGTATTGGTTGTTGTGGTTTTTATTCCTCATTCTGCTCAATGTAGAGTTTTTGATTTTCTTGAATATTCCTACCCCTTGGTGCTCATCAGTGAATCTCATATTCAAAAAGGGAAAAAAGAATAGAAATTAATATAGCTTTCTTTACTGAAGCGAGGCTTGCAAACTTGGATTGCTTTTTGGCAGATTGTTGTTGCTTTGAAGTTTGACATATGAGAAGCACAATTTTTCATATATAGCATCATGATTGGATTTTTTTCCTGTTAATTTCTAGTATCATCAATATTGTTTACTATTCTGGAGACTTGTTTCTTTCATTTATGCTTGCTTGCATTTTCTTTCCTCAGAGTCTTTGAAGTCGTCTTGCGATTCTCTTACTTTTGCTGTAATGTGACATAAGTTTTATGATTCCAACTTTTGGAACTTTCTGGCTCTGTTTCCTTTAATTTCTTTTATGTTATTTTGTAGGATATGCTTCCTGAGTATATCCATATGCGTGTCGCAGAATCAGTGTTATTTGCTGGTAAAGCAATCAGGGTTCTCCGTAATCCGAGTACATCCTTTCGGTTTCACGATGCTACAAGTCATCAACAAATGCAGAGAGGCCCTCAAAAAATTCAAGGGTCCGTTGGACGATTTCCCTTTCTGAAGGAGCCCCTTGTGGACTCAAAGCTCAGTGGAGAGGAATTATTTCCTCAGTCTGAGGCTGATAAGATTGAAACATTGCTTGGAGACCTAAAGGTCTGTACTGCCCATATTCTTTGTTGCCAAGACTCAAGAACAGCATTGGACTCCATGTTCTCTTATTGTTTAAATACAACTGTAGTATCTAAGCTACATTTACTTTTACTTGGATTGATGTTTATAGGAGTCATCTGAGTTTCACAAGAGATCATTTGAATGTGCCGTTGACTCCATTCGAGCAATTGCTGCCAGTCATCTTTGGCAGGTGATGGATGCTTATATCTTTACCCTGTATTTTTTCAAATTTCATTTCTCATTCTTCTTTTTCTTCAGCTCGTGGTCATTCGTGCTGACTTGAACGGCCATCTTAAGGCTTTAAAAGACTATTTTCTTTTAGCAAAGGGAGATTTCTTCCAGGTATGGAATAGGGGTAACTTATATATTTGTGGATATTTTCTCTGATGTTGAACTGAATCTATATGTTTGTTCTGTGGAGTCATTTGTAGTTAAGTTAAACTTGCAGTTATACTTTTCTTACACTGTGTGGAGTCCTTTGGCCATTGAGTTGTTTGATTAAGTAGCTGATAACTTTTTTCCAGTGTTTTCTTGAGGAAAGTCGGCAACTGATGCGCTTGCCACCACGTCAGTCAACTGCTGAAGCTGATCTTATGGTTCCCTTCCAGCTGGTAAGCTGTAGCTTTCACATATTCTGAATTTATGTCATTTTGTAATAGAATTTTTAGGCACGACAGTTTATTTGTCTCCAATTTCCTCCTTCAGGCTGCGCTAAAGACGATCGGTGAGGAAGACAAGTACTACTCTAGAGTGACCTTGCGGTTGGTGCTTATGTTGACTTTCTGCATGGTTACATTTGAGACTGAATCTGTAAATTTACCTTTTAAGGCATGTTGGTAATGGCACACTAAATTTTGTGATGTGTTAGGATGCCTTCATTTGGGATTCCAGTCAAATCTTCCCAAGTAGATTTAATGAAGGGAAAACTTAATGCTGCTCCTCCAAATGTGTCCTCAGAGATGTCCCTTGATGGATGGGATGGTATTTACCTTGATTATTCTGTTGATTGGCCCCTCGAATTGTTCTTTACTCAAGAAGTTCTCTCTAAGTAAGATTCCTTTCCAGTAGTTCTTTATGTTGATTTACTGGGAGAAGGGCACTCTGAACAAGAGTAGCACCTTTTTGGAAAGGAATTAGCATGCTAAACAATTGACTGTGTTTTGACATCAAGAATTTTCCAGGTACTGCAAGGTCTTCCAGTATTTGCTACGGCTAAAGCGAACGCAAATGGAGTTGGATAAATCATGGGCATCTATGATGCATCAAGATCATGTAGAATTTTCCAAACATGCTAATGATAGTGTAAACAGCTCAATGCCTCAGAAACGACGTCAATACCTCAAACCTGCCTGGCGGGTTAGAGAGCACATGGCATTCTTGACCAGGAATCTTCAGTTTTATATCCAGGTTTGTAAGTTTCCTACCATATTCTATTGGAAGAAAAGCAGCACGGAGTGCTGTGTCCACTGAAAGAAAGATGGAAGAAAATAGGGGGGGAAATCATGAAAAGATAGGGCAGCTTAAGTAAGGGAGAAGAAGAAACAATGGGGGAAGTTTTGTAAAAGTTGGGCTATTGAAGGTCTAAAGCATGGATTGGACCTATTTATTAATTGCATTCAGTAATCAGTATAAGCTTCGGAAGGTTGGAGTATAGACTTTAAAGTAATCTCCGTAGTTTCATCCGAACATGTGTATCTTTACCATATCTTTCTGTACTGTAGAAGTCAACAGATCTTTTTACTTGTCTTCATCCGTAAAGTACGCTACTCTTAACGTATGAATCTCCTTGCAGGTGGATGTGATAGAATCTCAGTGGAATGTCTTACAAGCACGCATCCAAAATTCTAATGACTTCACTGAACTTGTAGGGTACCATCAAGAGTAAGTAAAATAATTTTATTGGCTTATGATTTATTGATTGCTTAAAGATAATACGCAAAACATGAGTTGAATGATTTTTGGATTATAAAAGTTTTAATAGCATAATGGTAGCATGTATAACATCAACAACTATATGGAAAATTTGTGATTGAATTATATGTTGTTTCGATACATATGCGAACAAAATATTATCTCCAGGATGCACCATCTGGTATCTTCAAAGTCAAGGCACGAGACGAAAAATGAAATTACCTGTCATTTTGATATATAAACTTGCATAACGAGTGTGGAGAAATGCAATATCCAACGAACTCCCCCTTTCTGGGGAGCCAACTTTGTGGATGGATTATAGAGATGGCTGTGGAAGAATATAATGGCGGTGTCCATTCTTGGGATCTTTTATTGATGGCAGAAATTATCTTATGAGGGCTACCAGAATAAACTATTTCACCACAGGATACGCTCTTTCACTAGTGATCTGCGGTTCCAAATGCATATTCCAGTCATATGTTCTTTCACATGATATATTCTTCATGTTATATTTTGTAGTAGAAAATCTTCTTAAACACAAGTAAATTTGTTTTGACATGCTACTTTGTGTCTTGGCTATGTTTTAAGCATAATGAACTATCTACCTAATCTCAAATGATCATGTCTTATTGGTACTGCATGCTCGAAAGAATCTTCCTCTATCCTACCACATTTTGATAGGGGAAGTTTCTCGTTTCCCCTTTTGTTCCACATACCGAAGCTTACCACGCTCGATGTACTGAAATGTTCTGGGGATAATGTTTTGCTGTGGTATGACCAGTTTCAATTATGGGGAAAGTATGTGATTAGGGAAGCTTTATTTTTACTTGTCTTGTTAGATGCTGATCTGTATGAATGTTCAACTTAAGAAAAGCATAAAAAAGAGTAAACTCATTTTGATATGAAGTAAACTCTCTCCGACATTAAATATAAGCGGGCTCCATTTCTGATTCTTAAAAACCATGGATTAATTTTTTATGCAATTCATCTCATACAACTGCCTTTCTTCTGAAGTTTGGTGGGAGGATTCCTGTGGAATAACTATTTTCTCCGAGCATCATCTCATCATTTGACATTTATAGCTAATCTTTCCTTGATGCATTCCTTTTCGGAGTAGCTTGGATTGGCTTCATTCAATTCATTCCACACAATTGCCTCTCTGCTTAGTTCAAGTTTCTAGTTGGACAATTATGGTTCCTAACCATCAATGTTGCACTTCAGACGTTCATGTTGTTGCGCTGCAGACATTCTTGTCTTTGCGCACTTCCTTGTCAGATCGCACTCCCTTAGCCCTTAGTTCTCATGTTTTGTAGTGGATCATTGTTGCTCTGATTGTTTATGCTTGCATCATGAGGCTTACATCTCCGTTCCATCACACGCAGGTACTTATCAGCCTTGATTTCTCAGTCTTTCTTAGATATTGGTTCAGTGTCAAGGATACTGGATAGCATAATGAAACTTTGCCTACAGTTTTGCTGGACCGTCGAGAATCAAGAGGGTTTTGCAAATACAGCCGAACTGGAACAAATTACAGAGGTATTTTATAAGTTCATTTTCATTAGTTAGGTCCGTGTTTGTCCACGATCTAGATGATGGACTTTTTTTTTTTTTGGTCAGAAAGATGATTGACTTACAGCTTCACAATCGAGTGACAAAATGATCAATAGTCCAACCTTTGACTGCTCTGTCAAAGATCTGTTTCATGCATTGAGAATCGTTACTTGTTAAAGCCATAATGTATTATAACAGAAATAGATCGGGGCCTTGATATAACTTTATTCTCATCTTGGCAGAGGAGACTGAACCTTAATGGCGACAATATTAGGAGTAGCACATCAATGAAGAAAATACTGCATGTTGAGTCTAGCATTCTATTGTCGTTCTTTTCGTCAGCAACGTGTGAAAGTTCTAGCCTTGCTATGCTTTCCTCTGGACTAGCTGTGTAACATGTATTGGCCAATATACCTTTTAACAAGCATAAAAAATATCATTGTGGCTGGTCTCTTTAAGCACTCATCCTCTATTATAACCTCACCTCTTTTATGTGTTCCAGGAATTTAACAAGAAATCCAACTCCTTGTATACTATATTGCGTAGCAGTAGGCTTGCTGGAAGTCAACGGGCTCCATTTCTCAGGCGTTTTCTTTTACGGCTGAATTTCAATTCCTTCTTTGAGGTAATATTTTCATGAGAAACACCCAATAGTTTTGGGCCTAGGATGTTCACAGGAGCTATAACTACTTCCCTTCATTGACAGGCGACTGCAAAAGGTGTGCTGAATATAGTCAGATCGCATCCCGCCCTTCCTGTTCTGAACCAACCGTAGATCTCGGTTGGCTTTAAGCTCAGGCTTCTACTCCGGTTATCCTCCAGCCTTGATTTTGTTTTTCCCGAGACGTTTTGCTTCATATTATCTCAAGTGATGCTGAGGCAGTGAGTGAATTCCAGTCGCTGCTCTCTCAACTCAAGTACGAACTGGATGCCTTAGTTTGCTAACTGGACAACGCTTGTTGGATGGGGAATGCCCGATATGTCCCACGAGCAATCCCAGTTAAATGTGGCATTTGTAGATTGGCTGGAGATCATGAAATGTCTGCAACTACTGACGGCCTTGGATCATCCTTTTACAGGTCAATCTGGAGTCGCTTCTTTCTTTCTCTGTGGGTGCACAAACTCACAGCTGCACGGATGAATGCGCTTCATGGTTAAGTCTGGTTGTTGACTCGAATCTGCTTTTCACCCTATCATCGCCGCTAAATGATTCAGAGCATGGGCAATGAGATCGACAGGGTTTTTCGAGGTCACTTGGATCTGTAATGCTCTGTTTCTAGGTAATGAAATAGTGGTTTTGCCTGTAATTTATTTGCATATCTGGGTTTGTGAAGCTTGGATTTATGGTGTGTAAAGTAATGTAGGGGAATTTTTTGAAGGATGCTTTGCGATGAGTTCAAAAGGGTCTTATAGTTTCTCGGAAACATGATATGATAAATCTGTGGCCTGAGCGATTTTGGCTTTGTCCATTTTTTCTTGTGTATATATTACAAATTTTGTGTGCATGATGTGGCTTTGTGATTAGACTTGTCAAAATGGGTCATAAACTCATTTCTTAATCCATATTTGCCATATTTGACAGGCTGAGTCGTTATATGAGTTAATTATATTCAGTAAATGGGTTTAAAATGATAAAATCTAAAATAATATGGATTTTAAATAAATTCATAACTTACTTAAACACAACCTATCTCTATGACTTTTTCTTTACTTTCTCGTTCTTACTTGATTTCGCACTTGTTCACTCCACACTCTCACCTCAATTTTAGTGCAAGTTTTCCTATATTTGGTTAAATATAAAATTATTATGGTAATATAAGTTAGGTTGGGTATGAGTTATTAGATTTGTATTACATAAAAATGAATCAAAACGAGTTAATTAGGTTAAAGTGGGTTGAACCATTTTCAACTCGACCTAAATCACAAAGAAAGTGCGCGTGTTTAAATGTGCAAGTGTTATACCATTAATCTCACAATATACATTTTTTTTTTAGGCTAGGAGCAATTAAAAAGTATGCTGATGACATTATGTACTCAAGACTTTGTATTCAACGAGCATTGGATTCTCTCGATACATGAAATTTCGGAAAAAAAAGAAGAAAAAGTTGAATGTGTCTGTGCTCTTAATGCTCGGTCATGTAAAGATATTTCTAATAAATCTATCAGCATATGCTTCTTCTCCATCAAATGTAGCTCACTCCATGCCTATTCGGTACATCTCTATATAAGAAATCTGACTTGAGCACCGAGAGTACCTGCGATAGGAGAAGGCTTTTGAGGATCTGCCTCAACAATGGAAGCGTCCATGTCCGAGGCCCGGGGCAAACCACCTGATGGTAAGGGGTTATGAGGGCCAGAATGAAATCCAAGGTCTATGCTCCAACAAATACCTTCCAAAGTGGGTATATGAAGTTGTCCAAAAAAAAAAAAGAGGGTATAAGAAGCAAAAAAAAAGAATAAAGAAGGAAAAAAAAAACAAAGAGTGATGATAATATAGGAAACCAACCGGAATAAATCCTTCCTATATGATGCCAGAAACTTTGAGAGAGGAAAGCACCACAAAGATGACCCAGAGCAACATGAAGTAAATACTGGTTAGCCAAGCCCAAGGCTTTGGCCCTCCCAATTCCGCACCCAACGTGAGACGCCGAAGCACGAGAACTGATATACACCCCACAGACGTACAAAAGAACACGAGCAATGAGAAGCTAAGTCCGGCTGCATTCTGGATTCTCAAAGGTTCCCGATACACGATGAAGTTGTATGCGGTGTCAATTAGCCATGGGACGCCTATGCCCACATATATGTTCACTGAATTACTACAAAACACAGCAAGAAAAAGAAAATGGTCAGTTCAAAGTTTTCAGTAAACTCGTGGTAGTGCTGTATCATTTCTTTTAAAAAACCAGATGAACTACGTGGATATGGTGCTGCAAGCTCAATAAAGAAGCCACAAAACATGGCCTTAACACATCAGACAAGGCTGACACCAGATGAAGAGTATTAATTGTTCAGTGCTCCTTGTTGAATAATCTTTCATTTCATGAGTAGCTATGAGAGAGACAGTCAAAGAAAGTGTAACTAAACTTGTTTGCATATTTCCAAGTAAAATTTTCACATGGAAACTAGAGAAAAGAAGTAAGGACTAAGGAAAGAAGTGCCCCTGTATTTAAAGGAAATGTTTTGTTAGCAATGATATTATGGATTTAATAATCAGATCAGGTGAGTTTCTTCCAATCAGCAGAATTGCAGCTTCTACACGCAGCACTGTCTCACAAATACCCCAAAATTACTGGTTGCTAACCATACGAAATGAATATTTCAGTTGCGATTGGCTACAGGAAATTTTCCAAATCCCAATCTCACAGGCGGCAGAGGGACGGCTTTCAGATAAAAGTCAAACTGACAACTATATGGTTCGAGAAAAACAACATTTATAATCGTGCACACGGGTGAATGCGAATGAGGCAACGTTATTTAATTAAGTAAACCTGCAAGTGATGTTTGCAATGGCAGAATCAGCTGTTGTCTGCCTTTCAGCAGCAATCTTACTAGCAACTAAGTCTGGCCATGACGTTCCAGTAGCCAGCGCTGTAAATGCTATGACATAAGCATTTATCCCTGCACAAACACTAAGAATGTAAATGACTACCTTAGACAATTTGTGGCTGACCTCAAATTGCCACCCTTTTTAAATCGAAACAAAGATTGGTAACACTAACAGTAGCAAAATTTAGGTACCTGTCACGCAGCTAATTAGATCTGTGAGTTTGGTCACCACATAAGCTATTCCACTGATAAAGGTTAAAGAGCAAATGAAAGCAATCCAGCCATGAGCAATTTGGCAAGGAGGAACTAAAGCAAACATGAGCCTCCAAGGTGCAAGAAGTGACTGCCACAACATTCGCAAAGCCCGCACATATATGCTGTCAGACTTCTTCGTCTCAGCGCTCTCCAACTGTTTAAAAAACGAGGGAGACTCAAAAAATAAAAACGCAGGAGATCGAAAAAGGACGAGGATATCATTGTCAGACAATGTTAATATAAATCATGAAGTTCCTCCAACACTGAATCATTTAATTTCATTGCTGATTACAACTAAATTATACAAACTGCATAAAAATTTGTGAAGCTTTAGTGCATCTTTTCATGGAGACATCAAGCCTGGCCAAGAGAAGACAAAAGAAAAAAATTGAAAGATAGATGACAACCAAGAACTTATGTTCGGGACCTAGCATGTAAACGAAATAATAATGACTCCCACTTTTTGTCATGTTTGCATGCCTAAAACAAAAAGAGAATAGGCATTCCCCGCAAATCAAAGGAACTGGGCCAATGCCCATTACAATAAGGTTCTTCTTCATTTACTTTAAATAGGAAAAACTACAGAACCATCCTCAAGTTTCCCCAGTTACACTTTGCATCCCCCAGTTTCAAAACCAATACTAAACACCCTCAAGTTTCAAAATCCAACTTTTTGCACCCTGAAATTTTGAAAGGACCACACTTTGCGCCGTTCATTTTCAATGGTTTAACTCCAAGGTAAAAAGGATTCATTTTTCAAAACCTTAGGGAGTGAAGTGTACATTCTAATGCACGCTGTAGAACAAGAAAATGTTGGGATAGTTTATGTTATTTTCACTGAGCATGCAACCTGTAGCATAAGAGAAATTGAGATTGCTTATGTAATTTTCCTTCAAGGATAATTTTGACTCTCTACTAGAGTTTGAATAGCCGAACCAAAATTAAAGATGCTATCTCTACGCGGAAAAGAGGAAAGTTGTGTGCAATTCACTCATTCTATTTTGACTTGATTGTAATCCTTCGTACTACTTTCCTTCAACGAGAATGCCATCAACTGATACCCATGTTACGCCATTTCATAAGTTCAAATAGATGTAGTTCTAACCACAAGAAAGCAGAGGATAGATCAAGCGAACCATATTAGGGAGCCAAAAAGTAAAACAACTCAAAAAAGTGTCTGCCATATCAAATGAATGATTGATCTTGCAAGTTGCAAGAACAGAAACACAATATGTACATGAAGAAGCATGCATATGAAATTCGAAATGAATAAAAACAAAGAAAGAAAAAGGAAAGATGGGTGACGTTATTAACCCTCCAAGTAATGACTTTTTCCTTGAAAGTCGGACTTTTTAAAACAAGCAGTTCCTCAACATGATCAGTGGCGTCATTCGCGCTTTAAAGAGAGACATACAAAGCTGAGCATTCCATTAAAATGTTGTCATCCAATTAGATGAGAAAAATTTGAAGGTTGCCCTTCATTTCTAGGTGGGTAGTCCAAAAGAACTAATTTAGATAGCATAACTTACCATCAGCGCATCAACAAACTGTTCCTTCCAAAGTGAAAGCACATGATGTTCATCAGAGGTTTCGGCTAAATCACTGCCAGGTACATGGTGATAAATTGGACCTAAAAGAATGATCCTCCTTAAATTAAAAGGTTCATGTAAAATCAGAGTAGAAGCTGAACAAGTGGAATAAAGAAGCCTACCAAAAGCATGCGGAACTACCAGAACTCATATAAATAATGTTACTCTAAGCATACAAATATTTGTTTTTTTTTTTTTTTTTTTTTTTTTTTTTTTTGTAAGGTATATATTACTTTCAAATCACCAAATACAAAGGAAAGCAAGAGACTAACCAAGTTCCAAAGGGACTATACAAATCCAAGGGACTATACAAATATTTGTTACTTGGTGTAAAAACTTATAAACATTATTTGTGGCAAGCCAGGTCATTTACCACATGCACAGTATAAATGTGACACGCACCTATTAGATCCCATGCGCTAAATGTAAATGTAACTAAGAGCAGCTGGACAGAGAATAAAATCTAAAAGGGAAAAATATGGTGCTGCCGACCAGAAAATAGATGTCAACTATTTACACAACACAACGAATCAAATTAACAATAGCTACAGCATGTCACATTTTTGCTCACATGGACATGGAAGCAGTGTCTATACGTCTGTGCCACTAGCAAAAGAACTTATCAGCCAAGCAGGGAGAAACAGTAAGTGAAGAATGTGGTTGTTTAGCATGTCATGTGCTGCATAACTACCAATAAAGCAAATAAGTGCAGGAAAGATCTGCACAACAGCAACTTCAGAGATTGACCTGTTCCACTTCCAGAATGGATGGAAAAGATGTCCACAATACTCCTTTCATTATTTTCACCAATTAGAATTATCTCGGAGTGCTCATCATCAACATTGTCCGCATGTTTATTTGAAGTAGCCTCTTCTGGCACCCAGTCCTCTGGCCTCTCGCCCCTTGCTCTTTGGACAGGGAGAAAAGGCATTGTCAATATGAAACATTATGAGACGGTCAACTCAATTAACAGATATAATCTGATGAATCCTTAGTTCAAACAAAAGGTATCAGGGAGATTATATAGACATACAAAGGAAGATATAAGTAGGACCAGCGCTTGTCTTGAGCATATGCATGTACCAGTAGTAACCCGAACTGCAGCACAGTCAAAAGTGCCTCCCAAAGTGTGACAATGTCAGGAGTCCAAACCTGCATCGATGTCAAACATCCCTGAGTAACAGGTTTGGCAGCTAATGGCTCCTTTAACAAGTTAAAGCAATTTCTCTGATAACTGCATCAGATTACAAAGCTCGATGATCTTATTAGTCAATATAACCATCTATGGCCGGAATTTTTCACTAGTTTCTTTGAAAAAACAGAATGTCACTTGGAAACACTTTATCACATCTGTAAAAGAAAGAAGCAAGTCGAGAGAAACTCTAATGTTATCGCGTCCTGTCAGAAAGCTCAATCATTTAAGTTTTCAGCAATATTACCTTCAAAATTATGTACAGCCAAAAATAAGCCCAGAAAGACCAAAAGAGCTCCACTACCCAAACGCCAAGATCTGATATCTTCTTCAATTCACCAGCTTTAGGAACCAAGACACAGACAGCATGAATAGGAAATAGGTCAAATGCAGCAGAGCCTACAAGCGTTCCAGGACCCAAATCTAGGATAAAAAGATTCTGCAAAACGTTAGCAAAGCAAAATTTATCTGTTTGCTCGCACAAAATTAAGCATGAACCAATGTAAACTATAGATCAAGCATTGAGGCTGGGAAGATTATAGCAGAAGCTATAAAAATCAGATCAGTATAATGTCCACAAGAGTTGAAGGAGAGGGAAGAGTTCCAGGACCATGTTCAAAATGAGCATAAAACAGTATATCTTTGTGGAGTGTGTCATTTACTGTAAATAAATATATAATTCGACAAAGATATCACAAGGAGCAACACTTAGATTGAAATTCTAAAACAAAATCATCCACCGTCTTCAGAAAATAGGCCAAATAACAAAGAAAAGCACAGCCTTTTATTACTATGACATGTTTAACATGGCCTTTCAAACTTACCAAAAAAAATGCACAATATCTGGTCTATTTGACAAAAATAGCAGATGTTACTATTCCATCCATAGCCAAATGGTTTGGATCTTTATCTGAAAGGTCCTACTCTGAAGAAAATACTGGATATCTTTTTAGAGAGAGAGAGAGAGAGAGAGAGAGAGAGAGAGAGAGAGAGAGAATTTTTTTACACTTGTTTAGAGAAAATAATGTGATTTCACTGTTGAGGAGACGCCATGAAATCAATATTAAGATGAAAGTGAACTGCATTTAGGGGTTTGCGAATGTATTGCTACTAGCCATTACTAGTTGTCAACGCAGTAATAGTTAGGTGAACTGACATGAGCACAAGATAACACCTAGAATGGATGGAATACTTGTCACAATAGTAAAAGGTTATGTATTTTTTCGGTACATTTGAGAGGCCGTGTTAATTTGTAGCGCATATGCTTTGCTTTTTATACCTTTGAGAGGTCGAGTTAAATTTATCACAGTGGTGAAAGGCTGTCTTTTTTGTGGTATTTGGCCCAGAAAAGATCACAGAGTCTTCTACACAATAACCAGCATTTTTGGGTCAACATTTCTTCAATAAAACTTCCCAAACCATTTTAGAGATAGATCGATTCCCTAAATCCAAAAAAACTAGAATATATTAAAGCTAGCCGCACTCGGTTTTGTTTGAGCAAAGAGTATCTCGCAAAATTACAAGGAATTTAACACAAAAAGTCGCAGCCTTGAGCATAAATGATATTGGCAAAGTAAGATTTCATTACTACAGAATGACAAATCAGAGATGCTTTTGTTAATAAACTTGCTTCCATTTCCCGTGATAATGATACAATCAGTAAATTTTAGAAGTTGTCCAGGTAAATGACACTCTTAGACATAACAAGTACGGGAGTCCAAGGCTTACCTCCAGCATAGACGTCCCCCAGGTTTCTTAGAGCATCAATAGTAGCTAAAGATATTTGAGGGAAGCTAGTTCCAAAAGCCAGTAGAGTAATGTCTGCAATAGTGTAATTCCACACCTTTTCTTGTCTAACCACCTTTGAATTCGTATGGGGATCTATCTCTACCACCTCACGTGTCTGCTTCACAACATTCTCCATAGAACGGAAAAACCTTGCGGTGATAGCTGATAATCCAATAAAGCAGTAAGCAAGACCGAGGAAATAGATGAAGGCTCGGAAGGCATCTCCAAGGGCTGTTTCACCAGGAAAAAGCAAGTAGCTCTCACATACTTCCTGGCCCAAAATGCCGGAAACGCGGAGTGTGCTATCACTCGGTGGCTTATGAACTGAGGTCATATTTATCAAGCCCAAGGCACAGTTCAACAATGTGGATGCATATGTCAAAGTTCACATTACCTGCATCACCGTTGATCAACATAAACCCAACTGCACTAGGCATCGGAGCAAAAGAGCGCAAGCTTAAAAACCAGTTTTAACAAAGCATATCCCACTCAAATAGAAAGAGGACAATCATATGTATATTCAGCTATATATTCCTATTAAAACCTCAGCCTTACGTGCACAGTGAACAATCTAATTCCCTCGGTCTAATCGACAAATTCAATTCACGATAACCGCAGATAAAGCATAACAATGAATTTATTAAGGGGATCCTAATATCTGTAATTTGATATACTTCTAGGAACATTTAAAGACAAGGGATGCCCTCAATTCCATTAGAAAGAGGATAGTTCCACCACTGCAGTTATTTCCATCACCTACTCTGCGTCTCATCGAAATGAGAGAGAGAGAGAGAGAGAGAGAGAGAGAGAGAGAGGGGGGGCGAGATAGATTTGAATCTCGTCATGATTCTCGCTCGCACACCTCCCAAGTTCACACGGTCGACCCTACTTCTTCCGCCAACAAGCTCCCCCAAACTTAAACTATCGTACGCAGAGCATGAGACTAAGCTCCCAGAGAACGCAACTCCGAGCGTATGATCGATCGCTACTAGCCATTGACAGTGCACAGATAGGCCGGCCCCACGGCAATTTGACCGCAAGGTAACTATCGCACGTCGCCATAACAGAGAACGAAAAGCGGCGGATGTTCAAAAGCAGGAGATCGCATTGCGACGACCGGTTACCAAATCGGGGATTGACCGAGGCAAAAGGAAAATCCAAATACAACGACCGCGAACCGAAAGGAGCAACGGATAGAGGAATGCGACGACGTCCGAATCGAACGCCCCGAAACCTCTCGGCGTCGAACACACACAAAAAAAAACAAAACACCGATCGACGCGCGAACGCTCGCATACGACGGCGACGACGCGGATGCGAACCGCAAGGAGAAGAGAAGAGAAGTGATCGGTGGATGCACGAGCGATGAGCCGAACTTACACGAGGGAAATCTCCGCCGGGTGAACCGCCGTGAGAGGAGGCGGCGACGAGACCCTGCGGCGAAACGTAAGACGGTGGGGGACGTGCGCATGGAGGAGGCGAGCATACGTGGCTCCGGCGTGAATGGTGATTAGTAGATTACTGGCAACTGGCAAGGGGCGCCATTTCCCCCTTTTTTTCTTTTTTATTTAATTATGTTTGTTTTTGCTGCCTCGATTTAATTTGGAAAACTCTGACCGCCAACAATTAAGTTTAAAAAGAGTGGGGTCCACACATATGACCGGAACTCGAGCACGTTTTGCATCTTTTTCAGGTCGCTCACGACCCGAACCCCTCCACCGTCGCCCGTTCCGTGTTGGCAGCTGTTATAGCCGAGAAGACGTTCCAGTGGCGCCAGGTCAGGAGCCGACGTGTTCCTTCCGTCCATTTATAAGCTGACACGTGGCTATGGCGTGGAATTAAAATATGATGTGGAAATCGAGTGACATTAGAGCGCCGGATTTGGGACGTGAAAAAAAGAGAGGATTTCTCTAGGTATTATAAATGGTCCATTAATTTTGGTTCAATATATAATATCATCTCTAAATTTTTAATTTGTATAGTGTGGTCTCCAAATTTTGGCCCAATATGCAATATCGTCCCTAGACTTTTAATATGTTCGATGTAATCCTTGAACTATTGGTAAATATTCAATGCAATCTCTAAGTAAAATAAAAGTTCAGGGATGATATTACATATTTGGTCAATTTTCAAAGATCATATTGAACAAATTAAAAGTTTATGAACGACATTATATATTAGACCAAAGTTCAGAAATTATTTGTCATTTTCCAATTTTCTTCCTCAGTATCTCCAAGGACAAATCATCAACGATAGGACAAAATGATATCGAAGGCAAGCTCATAAACACAATAATACAAATGGTGTAATAGTCATTATATGGGGCTCCCACATTACCGACACGCGATACCATTATAAATTTATCAAAAATGAAGAGGACACGACACAATCATGGAAAATATACAAAAACGAAACGCCAGCCCACGCCACGAAGACAGAGACAGGAACGATAAAACAAATGGGAAGCAAGGAACATGTGGTGATGCGCTGGCTATAAGATAGAAAGTTAGGTTTACTGTCTTATTCATATGGTTTCACGTGGAGATACGGAATGCCTCTTTCTGGGCAAACAGGAAGACAAATTCCAATATTTTTGTCCAACAAAAATAAAATAAAAAGTTCAAATTCTTTTTTCTATTTTAATAAACATGTTTCTATTTTTTCAAACATATCTTAAAAAATTGATCTTCTTTAAATATTTATGATTTTCGAATTCTCTTTATTTTTATTTTCATCAAGACAAGAAATTTTATGAACTTGGTTATCAGTAAATTGAATTTTATTTAATCGAAATCGGTAAATTGAATTAAATAAGCAAATATTATCTGGATTCATTGTCGAGGAGAGTTCGATAGTAATATTGTATGATAATACAAAGTAATTACAATCATGTGATAGTATGTATTGAATCAAATTGAGATGGGACTTGTCGGGCATCTAGTGGAAATACCTATGGGAAAAGTGCCAAAAAAGTCCTAAACTTTTTGCATTGGTGCCAATTTAGTCCTAAACCTTTTTTTGGTGCCAATTCAGTCCTAAACCTTTTGCATTGGTGCCAATTTAGTCCTCAACCTTTTTTTGGTGTCAATTAAGTCTCAAACCTTTTTGCATTTGTGCCAATTCAGTCCTAAACCTTTTTATCTTTGTGCCAATTCAGTCATTCCGGTCAATTTTAGTCGGATTTTACTGACATGGACGCCGATCGGCCGGCGGCTGGTCACCGGCGCTGACGTGGCGTCGTGGACAACTTTAATAATATTTTATTTGAATTTTTTTGAATTTTTTTCTTTTCTTTTTGTTTTTCTCTCCCCTCCCTCCAGCCGGTGGCCTCTGGCCAGAGGTTGACGCCAGCGAGGCTTGCCCACACCGGCCACTGGCGAGGGCGGCCTCACGCTGGGCAAGGCCCGACCTCGCCAGATTCGGTGAGGTCGTGCCTCGCCCAGCCGCTGGTGAGGCTCGACCTCACTAGATCCGGCGAGGTCGGGCCTCGCCCAGCCATGACGAGGCTCAAGCCCTCGCCAGCGGCCTCTGGCGGCGAGGCTCGACCTCACTAGATCCGGCGAGGTCGGGCCTCGCCCAGCCATGACGAGGCTCGAGCCCTCGCCAGCGGCCTCTGGCGAGGGCTCGAGCCTCGCCAGTGGCCGGCGTGGGCGAGCCTCGCCGGTGCCGGCCTCTGGCCTCTAGCCACCGACCGGTCGCCGGTCCGGTGACCGGCTGGAGGGAGGGGAGAGAAAAAAAAAAAAGAAAAGAAAAAAAGAAAAAAATTAATAAAAATTCAAAAAAAATATTAAAGTTGTCCACGTCAGCGCCGGTGACCGGCTGCCGGCCGGTCGGCGTCCACGTCAGCAAAATCCGGCCAAAATTTACCGGAAGGACTAAATTGGTACAAAGACAAAAGGTTTAGGATTGAATTGGCACAAATACAAAAGGTTTAGGACTCAATTGACATCAAAAAAAGGTTATGATTAAATTGGCACCAATGCAAAAGGTTTAGAACTGAATTGGCACCAAAAAAAGGTTTAGAACTAAATTGGCACAAATACAAAAGGTTTAAGACTTTTTTGGCACTTTTCCCCAATACCTCTTAGTGCTCATATGTGCGGCTTTGGTTTACTAGTGCTCCATTTCCGATGGAAATTTTCTTCTACAACAATAATAGATTCCGGAATTCAAAATTTCTCCGAGGAATAACACATGTTTATCAAGTCCTATTGGGTGCATTCCAGGAGCACAATCTTTAATGCACCAAATCAATGGGGGGAATTTTCCCTCAAGAGAGCCCAGGACTTCGATTTGTTGAAGTGCTCCGAAGCTAACTCGGGCACCATCTGACCACTAGATAAATTGAAAAAAAGAAGAAGCAAGAGATAAAGCACACATTATCCTTAATGCATTTGCCATTGTAGATTTTTTGCTTTCGACCGTTTCCCACAGCTTGATTTGATTACGAAATAGTTTCAAGATGTGGAAGTGACGAAGATGCTATTGGCCCGTTCATAATTGATCGATCAATCCATGACCACGAGATTAACATGCAACTACACTAGCCAGCCGGACTTGAAGAAATGACATTGTACCTTGTTGCAAGGCGAGCAACTGCTTGGAGGAGAAAAACAGCTACTATCAGTATAACATGCATTATATAATTGACGGAGCAATCGATTAAAGAGGTAATGACACTAATAATGCTTGAAGTTTTGCTCCATAATGTCATCCCTTGATTTTGTTTGTTTGTTTGCTTGTTTTTTTTTTTTTGTTCAATGTTGTCCTGGAACTTTATAAAGTAGTTCAATGTGGTCTTTTCGTTAAAATTATTGACGAAATCTTCTACGTGGGTGGAATACTTTTGTTCAATTTCGTCCCAATACTTTGCTAAGTTTGCGCCAGAACTGTTCTTTTATTCTCTCTCAATTGCATTATGTCATTATCCCAACACAAGATATTCATTAATTATTCTATAACATTAAATCCCAAACACAACACGTTAATAAATGGATTATACAAATAAAACCTTTAACATATGAATTCTTATACATAAAAACGTTTACTTGCATTTACATGTTGTAAGAATTTCTAAATATAAATCAGCATGTCGTGTTAAGACGAGGAACATTTTAAGTTTCTTACCTAGACGAGTCCAAGCACGTCGTAAACAAGTAAAAGTATCAATTTATACTTGATATGGTTTTACTATTCCTTACGATTAAGCTTATATGAACACACTAATTCGTGTAGTCCGTATGTCTTGTCAGTGGCTTGTGTAAAAAAAGAAGAAGTTTAAAGACGAAATTGAACTAATAAATGAAGTTCAAGTACAAAATTGAACTAAACAAAATAACAAGTTAGTAACTTTAATCGCTACTTCAGCAAATTTCGTTAAATCTTTAACGAACCATGTTGAACAAATATAAGAAGTTCAGGAACGACATCGCACAAAAAATATTAAAAGATGGTATTGAATAATGAGGAAAAATTCAAGGACTACTAATATTATTACCCATGATTAGAAAACGTCAGAAAATTTAATAGGTACCGTCCACAACAGGAAAGTATACAAATTATAAACAGAGCCATCAACAGGTACTGTCACCAACTATAAACAGCCAGATGCCTTCAACAGATACCTGTTACCAACTATAAACAGCCACAGTTCAGCCAAGGGCGATGCTTCTTCCCACCTCAAGGAAGGTCTTCATATATAACCTGCACAGAGATCCAAAGTCTGATAATTTCTGTAGTAATTATGAGTGTTAGAGCTTGGAACCATAAACATCATCATCATGTCAATTCTCCGTGCAGTCATTCACTGTAATTGTGAAGGCGAAAAAAATTTCATGATAACAATATTCGGAAGAATATTATAAACTTACAATTTCCCACAGGCCTTACAGGATTTTTCAAGTCGATGTCCTCTTGGTATATGACTATACTCCCAGGGCTCGTGGTTCAGACCACTCGATATAATGCAAAGCTCAAACTGCATCTTAACAACCCGACACCTGCCTTTCGAGGGTATTTGACTGCCAGAATTTGTGTGGATGAATTATTGTTTCAGTCAGTGTCATGTCCAAATTTCTGCGGCCACACGGACCTATGAAAATCGACAGGACCCTCCGAGTTTCATAAAATTAACCCAGAAAATTTTTAATCTACCAGAAATCTTTGCAAGAGCAAACTCCTTCATTGAAGTGGTGAAACCGATTGCAGTCCCTGATCACGATCTCGCGCCTGTAGACTTTGGATATCATCTTTATGGCAACGTGACAATCACCGCATATTCTAAGGTTCTTAATGATTCGTACGGGAGTACCGGCACTAGTTTTTAAAAAGCAAAATGCTATAGCCAGTCTTTCACAATGAAGGGATAGAGCAAGCTCTTTTGCTTCCTCATCCAAATCAAGCAATACTTCTTTTGTGTTTCCCACATACCCTGCCTTCTTCAGTTTCGTCATGATCTCATCAAGCATCATATAAATCTCCTTAGTTTCCGGATGGGAATCATCTCCCACAAAAAACTCATGAAGTATCCCATCAAGCTCTACTAAGCTACACCCAGGGACTTTATAAATGCCCTTTGCTTCCATTAGATTTCTGACTTGCCTCACTTCATTCCATCTACCCAATTTCGCATAAACATTTGATAGAAGCACATAGGCACCACTATTGCCAGGATCCAGCTGGATTAGCTTTCTGAGCGCAATCTCACATGTTTCAATGTCACCATGTGTCCTGGATCCACTCAGTAGAGCACCCCATATGAGCAAATCAGGCTCCATAGGCATCGATTTCACCACGGTCCATGCTTCCTTTAGTAGACCTGCTCTCCCAAAAAGATCCACAAGACAACCGTAGTGTTGAATCATCGGAGTTATTCCATGCACCTCGCTCATTTTCCTGAAAAATTCCTTCCCTTGACTCACCAAACGTCCATGAACACAAGCACAAAGAATACCCAAGTATGTCACACTGTTAGGTTTCACACCTTGCTGTCTCATGTCCGAGAACAAGTCGAGACATTCCCCAGCATGACCATGCATTGCCAAGCCCGATATCATAGCACTCCAAGCCATCACATCCTTGTTAGGACCCAAATTGCCGAAAACCAACCTCGCCCTCTCAATACTCCCGCATTTAGCATACATGTCTATAAGACAAGTCCCCAACACAACATCAACTTCTATCGCACATTTGTCAATATAAGCATGAGCCCACTTCCCATGTTCCAGCGCACCCAACCGCCCACACGCTGAAAGCACTCCGGACATGGTAAACTCATTAGGCCTAACCAAAGTACCTTCCGCGAGTTGCATCTCCCTGAACAAAGTCAGCGCTTCCTTAAACTCCCCACACCGAACGTACCCATTAATCATGCAACTCCAAGATATCACGTTCCTCTCAGGCATTTCGTCGAACAGCGCACGGGCAGCATCGCTCCGGCCCACTTTCAAGCACGCGTTGACGATCGAATTCCAAGACGGCAAATCCGGTTCGGCGATCTCGTCGAACACCCGGCGCGCGAGCCCCGCGTCGCCGCAAGAAGAGTACATGTTGATGAGACAAGTCCGGACGAAGGCGTCGCGGTCGAGCCCAAAGGCGAAAACTTGAGCGTGGATCTGCCGACCCGATTGGAGATGGGGAGCGGAATCGAAGGACTGGAGGAGGAAAGGGAAGGTGTGGAAGTCGGGTTCGACGCCGTGGGAGCGCATGCGAGCGAAGACCGACAGCGGAGGTCGGAGGGAGACGGTGGACTGGGCATGGGCTCGAATGATGTTGTTCCAGACGAAGGATTCGAAGGTGCGGTGAGCGAAGTTGAGGGTCGGGTGCGTTAAGGAAACGAGCTTCGTGCTTGCGGAAGGTCGCATCTGGTGAAGCTTAGCGGGACGCATGGAATTTCGCCAAGGGGCGAGTTCTCTCCATTATAGCAGAGCAGGGGAGAGCTACAAAAGCTTTGTGTAGCAATGACATGCACGTAGACAAGATCAGAACTGAAAAGCCATCACCATAACCTCGGGTTCTAAATAAATAGATCTATAGCCTTTAATTTGGCCTGAAAAGAAAAATGCAAAAAACAATTTTAAATTTTTTTTTCTAAAATTCAAAAATAGTTTTTAAATTTTAAAAACTAATGAAAATAAGGAAACTTTTGTACGATGCTCGTTTAAGCGCGAATGATAACCATTCTGTTTTAAAAATAAATTTTTCTATTTTTTTTCCCTGGACGCAGACATGGCCACGGTTCGGAACCGGCCGGTAAAAATTAAAAAAATAAATTATGAAATAAAAAAATAATGAATTATCAAATTATGAAATAATGAATTATTCAATATAAAATGTAATCAAAATGTACATTGTAATCAAATTTGGAGAAAAAAAGAGTTTCTCCACTTATTTGTAGTTTTTTTTTGTTGGAACTGGAACCGGGCCCGTAGGCCACAGGCGGTTCCTACATTCACTTGGGTTGACCCCACTGGGTCCTAACCTAGATCTCCTGAACTCGGAAACTTTGACCCGGGTCGAAACCGTCCTTGTGGCCATGTCTACCCGGATGAGTTTCTGAACAAAAATACGCGTTTAATTTCATAAAAACCAACCTCTATGCTCATGACAATTCATAATTTCATACAAAATGCAAATCTAAGCTACTTCACATTTAAAAAAAGAGACTATTTCCACGTATAAACGATAAATATAATCAAAAAATTTGTAGATCGCATAATACGTTTTCGCAGTTTGGTTTGGTTTCGAAAAATTGAAACCAAATCAAACCACAGAAAATGGTTTTGTTCGATTTGTTAACCGGTTTTTCTCAAGAAAGTACTCAAACCACGGATTTAAACCTTTTTTTGGCACACCCCTAGTTAGAATTATACATTTTTTTTCCTAGGGATGTGAAATTTTTAGGCAGTCTACTTCCATAAAAGGAAATAAGCATCCCGTCAAACCAAATTGAAAATATTTAATTTGTAGTTGCGTTTGAACTCTTTGGCTAAATTCAAAGCCAACTATATTCTAAATTATACGGGTCTCAATAGAGCCATTTTACATATAATCCCTCACGGATTTATCTGCACTGCGCAATAATAAATATCCTTTATTAGGTGGTCTACTAGTCGTTGCTCAATCGATTTATGCTAGCAGCCGTAGTAATACGCAGTAATACAGAGGATGCAAGCGTCATATAAATCGTACCGCTGAATCAGAAAACCTCCTTGCCATCCCTGCAGCCCTATCTCCCTTATTACTGAGCGATCATTTAGGGGCTTTAACTGATGATTCAGGCCGTCTCATATTCGCTTGGACTTTGCTCCTAGAAATATAGCCATCCCTACCCACTCACGTCAATCCCACGAATCTCTTATCCATTTCCTTGAATTCACAAAACTTTTGTCGCTCCGTCACCGCAGGGGTAGAGCATTTAGTATTTTGTCCTCTAAAATTCTATTAGGACCTCTTTTAGAAAACGAATTTAGTATGTTCAAATTTTTTGATTCAAGGCATCAACGTTATGATGCGAACATGCTACTTTTTCTCTCAATTCACTCCACATTTAGATTGTCCATGGCAACTTCAATCTCAAACATCTTAAACAAGACTCTCCTGAGCGTTGGCTTTATTTTGCTAAGTGGGAAAGAGGGGTCAAACTCAAAAGGACTGAATTGAAGAAGAGCTTCCAATGGCCCAGAAGACCTCGACATGTTTGCGTTACTCGAGTATTCTGCATCAACCTACACACTTTGCAAAGAAGCAATGTCGCAACGGGCGAGGGCTTTCGATAGTTCAACTACATACAATACAATAAACATCCTGTCATCTGTCCAACGTAACACGGCGATGCCTAAGCGCATTCACGGAAGAACCTCACAAAAGGAAGAATCCTCGAAACTTCATATGAACAATCGATGACCTTTTGATCCCATGCGCCACTGAAAGTTACTCAACATCATGCAGACATTTCCGTATCGCAGCTTGGAAATCATCGGGCTCGATGTCTGCGGGAGGGTACATGCGAAAAACATACGAGATGGGCTTGGATACCTCCATCGGTTTCTTGGTGGGTATAACATCCGATAGTTCCCCGTAGCTCTGCTCGGCGAAAGGAAATGACTTGGTGAGAAAGAAGAAGCTGCTCCTTCCCAGCTTCTCCACCTGGAACAATAATCACAAAGGTGTCAAAACAACACTCGGGGCTAACGACGGATATCTACAAAAGATGTCTTGAACACACTATTATGAACTTTAGCAATAGAGTTTAAAGATGCTACTTAAAACCGAGCTGAAAGATTCATCAGTGTAACTACCAATTAGCAAAGATACCCTCGTGAACAAAAATAAAAATCTAGCTTACTGCCCATGCACGGAAATAGCGAGCTCTCTGCCGAGCACATGCAATTGTCTGATCAGTCGATCACCTATTCCTTACAGATCCCATGAGCAAGCAAACGCAGCAATGACAAAAAAATCGTTACCATCTTTCAGATACAGTAATTACCTGCAGTTCTGAAAACCTAAGGTTATTCATGGTAAGAACAACCGGCACTTCACATAAAGCGTCAGCAAGTAGCCGAATTGCCAGATACTCAAAGAAATTCTTCATTAACCTTCTCTGTCCCTCCAAATTTTTTCCATATCCGCAAATTTCAAAATCAGGAAACCACAAGACGCATTTCACTGACATCCACAGAACTTGACTCTCCGCAGATTTCCCTATGATGGTTTGGTATGGGTGATGGAGTCCCCACATAATCTTGACATCAGTCAATGACGGGTCAGATATGGGGGATTCCAGAAGATGTGTGGTGGCAACCATTCTAAAAGGATCATAACTCCGAGCAATGTTGGAGGTAAAATGGAAGTTGGTGTCATCCAAGATGAGAATCTTCCCATAATCCGCAACAGGAAATAACCGAATAAGTAGTGCCGGGTCACCATCGTCATTTTCTGGGATGCATGAACTTGGCTTAGTGACTGATGAAAATGATGTGCCCAGATCATGAGAGAAGGAACATGAATCACCGTTTCGACAACCCTGCAAGTCCAATTACCCAATCAATTAATGAATTACTTTCACTTTGTATGGGGGAATAAAGTAGCAGCAGAGATAAAAACATGACTTAAGAGCATATGAGGAAAGTGGCATGACTTGGACATAATCAGCTACAGGCTCATGTACACGAGCAATCTCAATACCAGCCTTTTGAAACTCTTGCTTCAGACAAGGAGCGACCTATTTAAGCTCAGAAGCCTCTTAATCTCTTAGGAGGACTATGTGCAAGCAATCCCAATACCAGCTTTTGGAACTCCTGCTTGTGACAAGGAGTGGCCAATTTAAGCTCAGAAGCCTCGGAGGACTATAAACGCAAAATCCAGAAGTTTATTTGCTTCTATGACCTTTTCAACATCCATGAAGCATCAACGAAATTCTTTTGTGAAGTACCTATCAAGGTTTATTTAGCTTTGCAGTAACTTCTGCTATGACCTTTAGGGCCCGGTTGGTTCAACTTTCCAACTGCTACTTAGGGGAATGCAAATACCTTTAGGTTAAAGCTCATTGGGAAAATACAAATGGCGTTTGGTAAAAAATCCTTTATAAAACTATTTGGCCCAAGTAGTGTTTGGCAAATTTTTTTTCGCAAAAGGGCTTTGGGAATTATCTTTTTTATTAAAAAAAAAAACTTACCCTACCCTTCGCTGTAGCCGGCGAAGGCCTACGGTCGCCGGCGAGCTAGATCTAATGCTGGCGAGCCAGATTTTCCGGCGGCAGCCGTCGCCTTAGGCCAAACGACCCTCGGCAAGGGTCGCGTGACCTAGGCAGCCGGCGCTAGGGTCGCGCAACCCAGGCGACGGCCACCTAAGGTCGAGTGACCCAGGTGCCGACCGCCTATGGTCGCGCGACCCAGGCGGCAGACGACCTCGTGCGACCCAGGCCAGCAGCGCCTGGGCGGTTGCGCGGCCTCAGGCGGCCGTCGCCTGGGTCATGCGACCTCGCCGGCCTCTCGCCGGCCCGATCCAGTGTCGGCCGCCCTCGCCAGCCTCCCTCGCCGGTCGCCTCACGAAAAAGATGAACAATAACAAGAGGAACAAAACCAGAATAAGCCAAAATAAGTGAGGGTAGTTTGGGGACAAAAAATTTGGATTCGGCATTCCAAATGCTAGGCCGAGAGATGAACCAAACGGTTCAGCATTTTGGGAAGGGCTTTTGGCCAAAAGCTGAACCAAATGAGGCCTTAATGCTGTAGCCTGTAGTTGTGTTATAGCTGTGGCTTCAAAATGAGCATAATGGAGCGTGTTCTAGAAGTGCTATAGACCTTCAAATATAAAGTAATAATACAAACTCTCCAGATCAGAGCAACTTCTCCAGAAGCTGCTCACCAGCTTTGGAGTGCTTGCAAGCATCTAAGAAGAATCGGAGCACTCCGAAAAAACTAGAGCAGGTGCCAAGCAGTGCTCCTAGGCGCATGTTCCAAGGCGACTTTCAATATGAGGCCTCCAAGTGACAGAATCATGAGAATTGGAATTCTTGAGAAAAAGAAAAAATTCACTCAAACAATTCAAGAACATCAGGAGCTGGAGAAGGTGTTCGTGGTGGTCTTAGTTTGATTAAATTAAATACATAACTAGATACGAAGAAACTTAGTGAAGCATGTACCACTGAGCATGAACAACAAAGCAATGAAATCTGATATGCTGACAACTAAGCACGAGCAGATCAATTTACAATTATATATGGAGGGGTTTCACTGCCCTATGGATCAACACGACCATTCCTTTAAAAATGGGGAAGAATCTCAAGTATGTGTCATGCATTCTGTGAACGGAGTCTTGTGAATTGCAGTAGTAGGCAATTTACGAAGTTAACCATAAGATATAAAGCATGCCACGAACTTGTCAATGTTATCTACTGCTTTATTTGCTTCAATCAAGCGGTGAAAGAATTCTTCAATCACATTCACGATAAAGCATAACACGTCACCAAACATTCACATGGTAAGTGGGTACAAACTCTGAGAAAGGAAATTTATATGCTGATAACACGTGCATGCATATTATGTACGGTGAAAATAAAAGTCAAAGTGAAGTATAAACCTGTAAAGAGGAGAAGAATTTGCACATAGGTCGTTTTGCTTGGAATGAATGAGAAAACGAGCAATTACTGCCCCTGTTGCAGGATCCTTTTAGAAAATGTCTACATAATTTACCCCACTTGTTAACAGAGAAACGACTCTCGGAAGAACTCTTGGGCTGATCACCGGGTGCCAATCCAAAGTAATGAGCTTTTATCTATAAAAACATTACAGACGAAGGAAACTAAATTCAATAGGTATCTGCAAAAGGGCACGTAAAGTATGATAAAGTACCTCTTTGACAACAACTGTCAATTTGTCAGCCACATTTTTTGTCTGGAAGTCATTTGGGGTAACAAATGGCGTAGCAACACATTCCCTGGTGTCGGCAGATGATTCAAGTTCTTCGTCATCTAGGCCAGCTGCATCTTCATCTTCATCTTCATCTTCATTTGGCCGACACTCAAGGAGGCATTTGTGTTGGAAGTCACAAGGATAGTAATAAGAAGGAAAACCTTTAGATGTACCAACGAAGTTGGGCCGAAATCGATGCAATGAACTCAGGACATCTTCATCTGAGGAAAAGCAAATTCAAAATCAAAAGTCCAACCAATTGAAGAAAGAAAAGGGGAAGAGAGGTGACAAGAGAGAACTCAAAGGACGAAGTTGCAACTGTACATATTTTAGCGACATGATTAAGTGATGGCTGTCTAAGATTATGAAAGAAGCACCATTCTTCTTCAGTCTCCAGCACCATCTCTGTAGCTTTCATGTCATCAAATTGTAGAACTTGATTTAAATGCTTAGTGCGATACTTGTCCTTCAGAAGAATACAACATACATATGAGAATGAATAACTTAAAGATCTTCAAGAATAAATCATGGGAATACCTTGAAAATGCGCTGCCAAAACTTAAAGGCACACAAGTTCGCCATTAAGATCACCTCCTTTAGAGGACCGATTGTGGGCTTGTTAGTATCTCTGCTAAAGTAGCTGTCGAGGTACTTTGCGAACTGGAAAAAAAAAGGGGAATAGCCAATGAGAGTACCGTCTTTCACCTGTAGATGGATCTTAAAAAGAAATTGGCATTTGCTTGATAGGAGGTACCAAATCACCCTCCCCAAAAAAATGGATGATGGGTAGAGGTTGCGTATCCATCAATACAGCAAGAAGAATGCCCTCATGCAGCAATCCAACCTCCCCAAACTTAATCATGAGCAGAGATGCATCAAAAGACAGAGAAAAACTGGCAAGCAGACGTCCGTAGAACGTTGGCTCAAGCCTCCCTCTATGAGATATCTGGAGTAAACCCATATGAACTAACAAATCTAATGCATTTTGAACAACATCAGGATCAGGAGGGTCTAAAGCCTTCTGCAACAACACTGACAATATTTTTCAAGGATTAGCATTTCTATTAATTAAAAGATACTGAATATATGAATGCAGAATAGCAGGGAATGCTAAAAACATAATAATGGAAATGTGTGTCATGTATCTTAGAGTTCTGGAATAGATGCCAGTTCCCCTTTAAAATCATCCAATGTCAATTTTTGCGCAATCAAATAGTGATAAATGCAGAGGGGACGTGTTGGTAATATGGCTTCAGAATAATTTCTGCATGAAGTTTTTCCAATAGTCCTAGCTAAGCACAAAAAGGAAAAGATCCAAAGACCATACTTCTTAATTTAGATCAGTACTGTCGATCCCCCTTTTTGGTATCTTCTGAATAGCTTTAAAACAGCATGACTTTCCATTCATTTCAAGACTTTCATAGTTTCTTCACAAACTATATGGACACGAAAGTGTATTAAGGTATTTATTTCTTGATTAGTCAATTGAAGGGTGACAAAGGACAGTTAAATCCCATAACGCTTTGTGAATATTGAAAATGGGATGTCTCGTGGTGTTCCTTGAGCTGAAGAATTTCCACCTTGTTGAAGAGATTTGCTTCCTCGTCACTTCATGTTAGCTGCATCGGGTTCCAATATGGAGGGAGTTGATCGAACAAGAAAAAATTTGCAAGGCAGAATGTCCTGACCAATGTACTCATTGATCTTAAAAACACAACACAAAATGGGAACAGATGCTCTATGGGCAAGTCCACTGGGATAAAACGGAGGTCATCAGTTTTGGATTTTAGTGACAGTGGAAGGGAGGCCCTTAATGCTCTAGAAAGGTAAGGCTATGCTTAAAGAGGGAGGAAAGAAAAGGACTTCTCAGTTTTGATTTTGCCACATTTGTTTGTATCCCATCCTTTTGCGTGATTTTTTACGCATAGGTTGGAGTCCCATTTTGCACTTCCAGTTCTAAGAGAAGATTGATGCATCTGGGCAAGCTTGTAGATGACAAAGGTAAAACAGGAAGAGAGGACATTTCAACAGCACACTTATCGTTTTATAGACAGAAGGAACATACCTCTGGGATCATTGATGGCCTCTAGTTCAGCGCAACAGATTAGAAGTATTTGCTGTTGCAGTAATAATCTCAGCATAGTTGGACACTCGTAATCCTCTAGATCACTGAAAAATGATCGAGTTACCAATCTATAAATCTCTCCATCACAGGTCCGACCGGTTTTTCCTCTTCGTTGCTCAGCCTACATGTAACTCTGAATCTCATGAACATAACACAGAAACTAAGACTAAGTTGCTGAGCTTTATATGATACCTGAGATTTGGATACCCACATGAACCCTGATAATTCGCATTTCCTATTACTGTCCCAGTAAACTTGTGATGAGCGACACGAATCAATTATAAAGGCTACTTCTGGAATTGTCACTGATGACTCGGCAGCTAATATTATCTGGTTAAAGAGACTTTTCAAATCAGAAGGAGCTCAAATATGTGATATGTTTCTCTAACTGGCTAACGAAAAGAGATCCAACTTAATCATAAATCCATATCATTAGGGGAAAAGTTGTACTTGTCTCACTTTTTTGACATTCCAACATCACCCTTACTCTAACTACGTTCATTTCATCAAGTAACCACCCATTTCATACGTGTCTCCACTAACACCATACCCACCCCATTAAATAATCACCCAGCTCCTCTCCATTTTTTTTTTCTTTTTCTCGTTCATAACCTCCCACAGTCATGCACACGCTTCAACACTAACAACGGCATAAGAAAAGGTACAGTCCCACAGCAAATACTATATTGGTCTCGTGCTAATTTCACATTGATTACACATAATTTCTTAACCGTTCCTAACAAAAGCAGAGGCAAACTAATCCATAGTCTTCTTGAAGAACGCAACATGAGGAGAAGCACATGGAGAAAAATGCCTACAAGATCTGCACCTATGCAATGATATCAATAGGGTAAGTAAGATCCTCGGCTTACCTTTTCTGCATCAGTTTATTGACATAAATGCTGCCAAAGATTCAGAAGTCAATACAAGCAAGCTAAACAACATTTCATTTTAACCCCAAAAAAATGACAGACAAAATGATATGATGTCTTTAGATGGAGCACATTAATCTTGATTTAGTTACCGATATTCTTATCATGCAAGAAGCTAACATGCAAATTAAGAGAACTCCAATGCCGAAACATGAGAAGTTTATTTGAGCTTCCCAAAAGCATATCTTACCTTACGGTGGGACTTCCAGATCTTCATATCCAACAAAGCTTGTTCTATGTATTTACCGTTATGCAAAATGACTTTGAACAACGAACTTGAGGACTTCAAAAGACGCCATTGCTCCTCCCATGAACGGATTGTTGGCAGAAAAATTAATATGCTCTTTTCAATGTCTGGCTCATTTTCATGTATATGCATTACCAAATCATGAATGAGTCTGTGGACTTCAGGTTCAATATCTGCATTGGCTGTTGAAGGGCTTTCCCCATTGCAATATTCCACTGACAATGACTCTGAACTAGTTCCAAGCAATTTGGTTACCTGTTCAGCAAATTTAATAAATAACAGTATGCCTCTCAAGCTATATTCGGAAAAACCTCGAAGATACTCATCTCTTCATGAGAAACATAGTAACTAATCTTTCTATAGAAAAGAGAAAAAACAACTGTGGGGAATTACCATGCTTCATCCATGGCTTTTGCTTGTGTAAAACGTTGATCTTAAAGATTCAGTGTCACTCACATTATCAATTATGCCATCGCAAGAAAAAAAAAAAGTACCATGATTTTGCCATCTCTTTTTCCCACATTTTTTGACAAACATGAGGATTTCATCTTTTGAATTAACTGTTGGGAAAAATGTACACGTGGATAAGAAAATTGAATCAGACTTTGAGGCGTGATAACACTATCTTTAAGGAATTATTTGCCTCACAACGTTGCTAATAGTTACGGGACAAAATCCTCTAGGATACAACAAAGTCCCGAATGAGAATATCAGATAGCAATTCTGGTATTTCTTTAGGGTCTCTCAAGGGAAACAATTGGAAAAGATGACTGTATTGTTTTAAGAAAGAAGTATTTAAGTTGGAGAAAAAAGACTTGAAAAATATGAATATATACTTCACTCTTTCTTGAACCGAATGCAACCTTTCTGGAAAAGTTGCATTAAGTTGCATTGTGAAAAGATGCTTCTCAAAAGACATATTCAAAAATTCGGATTAAAATAATAATAAAATAAAAGAATAATATTTTTTTAATTATTATTATTTTTAATCATTTTTTCTTAATCCGAATTTTATAAATTCTGAAAAAATAATCTTTGCATAAATATAACCTTTCAACGTTGAAGGAGTTATATCCGAAAAAACATAATCTTCCAAAGGTGAAGTAGTTATGTCCGAAAGGATAATTCTTCCAAAGGTTATAAGAACGCCTAATAACCGTTAGGCAAAATAATAAATTTCGAAATTAATTAATAAAAAAATAACCGCAACTCTATTGCCAATATTCACACTTTTTCATTAGGATAAAACTGTTATTTTATAATAATAAATTCGAAATTTAATAAATAAAAAATAATAAACGAGGATTAGTGCTAACTATCATCCGCGAGTGCTAAGTGCGCGAATAGCGTCAAAATCATGCACTCCCACGCGGGTATTGTGAGATCTAGCCCACAATGCATCATCTTCATTTGAACAAATTAAAAGACATCTCCACTAATATAGTGGCCCACACAATCAGAACTTCCTTATGTGGGACAAGGAAAAGTACTATTTTATTTGTTTTAACGGGGTTGAGGGAATAGGGGCCTGGACCTGGGCCTGATATCGGATTGAATATGACTAGACGCATTTATTGACACAGGACTACTACATCTGGACATGAGCAGGAAAATCACTGACACGGAACTTCATACGCCATGGTCATAAAAAGGACAGCCTTAATGTAGCATATTTAATGAATTTGGTGCAATATGTGTAAGACATATTTAGGAAAATGCACATGGAGTATGATGTCAGGAGGTATTGAACGTATACTGAGATAAGATATGCCACTTGTCAAGCTAGGGGGCAAATGGATATGCGGGCCTTACTTTGTTAGTAGCCTTGGGTTATGGTGCACTTTGAAGCCCTGAACCATCTATTATCTAGTGCATGAACGAAATAGGTTTAAAGTACTCGAGTTCTTCCCACAAGCGGGTACGCAAATGAAGGTCCAATTGCATCTGTTTTCATATGTTTACATGAAGTCCGTTGAGGGAGGGTGTTGCTTTAATGTTTTTTGTGGGTGTTATCATTACAACATGCATTTTTGCTAGAGAGATTCTAATGTGTAGCAGAGGTAATAAAAATAATTTTATTGAATCATAAAAATGGAGACATCCAAACGCAAATCTCCAATTTTTTCATTCTAGCTTAAATTCTTAGGCATCCAGATTAGTGTTTTTGCTATGACCAAAAGAAAATATTAGTGTTTTTGCAAGGGGTGAGCACGGGACCAGTTCAACATGAGAAACGAATCAAACTAGCCTTACATGACCGGTTCACACGGGACCGAGTAGATTCCTAGGTAAAAAAAATTAGGGAACGGGCATTGACCGATTCCTTTTAAAACAGGCTCAGTTCTTGAGTTGACCGTTGAACTGACGGTTCAGTTCCATGCCGGTTTCTAAGGGAACCAGTTCCAACAACCGGAAACCAACTATGATAGGATACATTGGAACCAACTATCCCTAATTTTTGTAGAATTAAAGGTTACTGTCATAATTTTTCCTCCATAGAAAGATCAAATTAGAGATTGTATTGTTTCTTATGATTTTTTTTTTAACAAACAAAATCTGAAAAACAAGTTAAACAACTTAGATTCCAGAATCAAATCAAAGTAGAAACAACCCAGCATCGAATCTGCCCTGAACGGTTGTTATCGAAATCTTTCTAATTTGGCTTCGGTTTAGCCCTAGATGTGTGGATCAATAAACTTATAACGACGCGGATGAGCAGTGGGATCGTGGTTGCGTTTATGGTGTTGATCAGCGGAAACGTGGTGGTGATGACTGTGGCCATTGGTGGGAGGAGGAATTCAAGAAGGAAGTGGGAATTCCCACTCTCTATGGAGATTCCTGAGAATCAGAGGGTAAAACTAGTGAGGCAAAAATTCAAAGGGCAAAGCTTACTCTTGGTGGGAAAAACTGGAGGAGGAGCGTCAGTTGGAAGGAAAAACACTAGTTACAACATGGTCAAAGATGCAAACGCTCTTAAAGAGGCGATTTTTGCCTAGGGATAATGAAAATTATTTATTTGATCGTCACAATCAAATAGAGGTGAACGGTTTCAGGTTCCATACAGATTCCACCTGAAACCCAGAACCTACCCGTAGGAACAGGTTCCTCATTTTTTAGAATATGAAACCTACCATGCATACCTTATAACCTACGGGTTCCAGGTCTTCTCAAGTTCTACCTATATTATTAATTAAACGATTACAGTGAATCATCACCTTTAATAACCACAACTTGCTACTACAATCTACTGACCATAACTTATATATTTAGACACACAGAATATGAAACATTAACAAAGTAGAAGTCTCAATCATAAATGTAAGCTCAGACTAGTAGTTCCAGATTATATATTCATCATGGGACGCCAGGATTGCGCAAAGACATAAACAAAAAAAAAAAATACAAAAACTTGTTTCATGTTCAAGTTTCACCTACTTGGAACCTACCCGTCGAAACAGATTTCTCAATTTTTAGAACTTGAAACCTACCTTGCATACCCTACAACCTAGAACTGACAGGTGCCTCCAGGTTCTACTTCGGAACCATGCTCACCTCTAAAATCAAACATTTATGCAAGGCACCTAGGCCTCTTCCCTACATGCTACAACAATGGCTGCTGCTCCCAAATGTTCATTTCCCTCAAATCTCAAAGCGGCTAAATTTGTCACTTCAAAGCCAAATTAGTTGAAAGTCAAGATATTCAAGGATTTCTTTTTGGGAATGCATCTGTGATATGAGCATCAGCACTCTTGCACATCGAATCACTTCCAATTACTCATATTGGTAGTGGTCTTATTGGAAATGCACCAAGCACTCTCGCACAACGAAACATTTTGGTGGTTACCCAAATAAGAAGAGACTTCTCTCTGTTTCTCAACTCAGGCAAAATTATCCTTCTTATTTTGAGTTTAATGGATCTAGTTTTTGTATCGGGAACTCAAAGAAACATCAAGTCTAGATACCGGGCGGTAATCATCGCTGATTTGTGTGCCGTCAGAGATCCACAGAATTCAGAATTTTTCTCTTAGAGGCAAGAGTCAGCAAACGAGAAAGTATGGCATCAAACTTTCTGACACCCAAATAGTCAAATTTTGCAATATTTGAGAAGGAATAATTTTATTTCTGTCAGTAAACCAACTAGTGGACTTTGCACTAGTTGTTGAATTAATAAAAGTGCTAAATTACCGTTTCTTCATTACCACAGTTTCGGTACTATGTGGTGTTTATTGATGATTTTTCACGATATTGCATATCCATTGAAGAGGAAATCTGAATTTTCTAGTCTTTGTTTACATGATCATTTTAATCAAAGTCCAATTCAACACCAAGTCAAATGTCCTCATACACCATAATAGAATGTGTTTGGAAAACTTCTATGACATTTTGAAATTGACAAAACCATCTATTTCTTATTATTATTCAGTAAAGGCAGATGTTGTCTTATTTCAGGTAATGAAATAAGACAACATTGATAAGATAAACATTGACGGAATTGACAAAACAAATCCAGAAGAACAGAATCCGAAGTATAAAGTGAAAAGATCTGGATGGACCTTGATATAGGGTAAACAAATCCGGAAGAACAGGAAATTCGTGAAGGTTTGGAAATACCGTGATAAGATAAACTGAGTAAAGTCTAAAACACTAATGTACTCGGGAAGACCAATGGATGGCAATATATGTAAGTCAACTACCGGTCGGCTTGGATAGACTCACTGGATTGTTGAGAAAACCTCTATGATATTTTGAAATTGACAAAACCATCTATTTGTCATTATTATTCAATAAAAGCAAATGTTGTCCTATTTCAGGCAATATTGATATAAAGGACACGTTATTGACATCGACGGAATCTGAAGTACAAAGTGAAATAGATTGATAAAGGCTAAATAAACCTTGATAAATGGTGAACAAATGCGGAAGAATAGGAAGTTCATGAAGGTTTGGAAATACTGTGATAAGATGAATACTAAGTAAAGTCTTCAACACTAATGTACTCAGGAAGACCAACGGATGGCAATATACGTAAGTCAACTACCCCGGGAAGCTTGGATAGACTCATTGGATTGTTGATATGAGCAAGTACCTATATCAACTATGATGATCGCATTAATCATATGATTACGTGATCTAAATAAGAAGACTCGTATATTCTTTTGACTAATCTTGCGAGTCAAAAGGATTTTACAACTAACCTAAGGCTTGGAATTCTGGAAAGAACAATTGAAGCTAATCTAATTGATTGTTATCGATTTGGTGGAATGGACCAAGAACAGCTAACTCTATTTGGAGAAGCCTCACAATTATTGGGACCATTTGATTATATGGGCAATCAGATCTTCGGTGATTGTGTCCATCATTTCCAACGACAAATTGAATCCTGAATATTATCCAACGGCTAGTCAAAAGATGAAAACTATATAAGAAGATCAACACACGCCAAAGGAATGATGACAGAAAATTGACAAAGCTACAAACACTGACATTGTCATATTCTTACTATGTTATGAGCACGATTTTACTCACTTGTTGAGAGTTGTTATTACTCACTTTAGTCTATAGTTTAAGGAGTGTACACATGTGAGAGTAGTACTTGTTTATTGATAGTTAAATCTATCAACTTCAGGTAGAAGGACCTCGTGCTACATGCAACTACTCACGAGACTGCTAATATATTGTAGCGCATTGATGATCTTGGGATAAGAACACTAGGAGTGCCATAACTTTTATACGATGCTCACTTGAGTGCCATAACTTTTTTTTCGCTCACTTGAATGCCAAAAATTTGAAAAATGGATCACTTGAGTACCATCGGCGATTTGCCTCGCCTGAAAATCCGATGTGGATGCCAGTCGTCCTACGTGGCTTCGCAAGAGCTGAAGTAGACAATTTTTTAATATTTTTTATTTTTTGCAAATTTTTTTTTCAATGCCGGCGAAGGTCACCGGTGACCCTTGCCAGCTGTGAAGGCCTCGCCAAGATTGGGCTAGGGCCGCCTTGCCCTTGGCCGCAAAGGCCCTGGGCTAGGCCGCGAAGGTCGTCGCCAGATCTAGGCGGCCGCGGGCGAGGCTGCCTCGCCAGATTTGGCGAGAGCTTTCGCCGCCTCACCCGTGACCGGTGAAGCCGCAATGGCCTCGCCAAGGGCTTTCGCGGCCGTGGGCGATGTAGGCTAGCTAGATCTAGCGAGAGCCTTCGCTGCCTCGCTCACGGCCGGCGAGGCCGCTATGGCCTCGCCATGGGCCTTCGCGGCCATACCGGCCAATGGCGAGGCGGCCCTCACCCAGTTTGGCCAAGGGCAAGGCCTCTGGCAAGGGTCGCCGGCGACCCTTGCCAACCTTGAAAAAATGAAGGAAAAATAAAAAAGATAGAGAAAAATAAAAAAGATAAAGAAAAAAATTCAATAAAATCAATAAAATAAAATAACATTTAAAAATTCATGTCGGATGGAAAATTAATTAAAAAATCCACGTAGGATGATTTGCCGGAACTGACACTCAAATGATTCATTTTACTCCAATGTAGCACTCAAGTGAGCGAAAAATAAGTTATGACATTCAAGTGAGCGCCGTACGAAAATTATAGCACTTCTAGTGTCCTTATCCCGATGATCTTTAATATGAGAGAGTAGCGTGGACTCAGACAATATCAAGTTAAATCAAATAGATTTAAAAAGTGCATTTCTTTAAGGTCATCAAAACAATTTTTGCCTGTTTTGTTCAAGCAACAAGAGAAACAGATTGCTGACAGAGGCAACAGACTAAAGCTCCATTCGTTTGGCGAAAAATATTCTCCCGGAAAATATTTTCCGAATTTTCCGGTGTTCGGGGGGTGGAAAACGTTTTCCGTGGACAAATATTTTCCTTCCCTCCCTCACAAAATAGCCTAAATCTATAGAAAATGATTTCCGCTTTTTCAAAAGCGAAAATCATTTTCCGGAGCTTCTTCTTCTTCTTCTTCTTCTTCGCAAGGTCGCCGGTCGCCGTGCCGCCGCCACCGCCGCCGGCCGCCCGCCGACGCCGCCCGCCGCCGCTTTATTGCCCGCCGCTGCCCGAACGCCGAACGTTGGCCGCGGTCGCCCGCCCACAAGCCCGGTCGCTCGCCACAGCCCGGTCGCTCCGCGCTGCCGGGCAGCCGCCGGACGTTCGCCGTCCGCCCCGCCGCCGATCGCCGTCCGCCGCGCCGCTGGCACAATGCCGCTGCCGCCCTGTTGCGGCGCGGCCGCGAAAAATATTTTCCAAAACTTTTTCATATTGGTCGCCGAACACCAGAAAATTATATTCCGGGAAAACATTTTCCAGGAAAATGACTTCCGGGAAAATATTTTCCAAAAGGAGAATATTTTCCGCCAAATGAACGGAGCCTTAGAGAACCTTACTTTTGCCAGGAAAATCAGGTTGCGCGAGCAGTCAGACTTCCAGCGATGGTGTCTCTCAACTACTATGGCGCTTTAACTTTCTTGAAGACTCCGACGTCTAAATTAGAGACTCGAGTTCTACATAAGAGATTAAAAATCAAGCTGAAAGGGTTGGCAGAAAATTAAGAAAGTTGTATCTCTGATATTATCTTGTTCTCTATCTGTTTCCAATCGTGCTACTGCTTCTCTGTGATTTTCTATTAAGAGTTCTCGTTGCTTGTAATATGTCAATAGAGATACAATGGTAATAGTAGTGCTTTGTTTATTTGATAGTAGGTTCCGCCCTGGTGATTCCAGCCATAGGCTTCAACACAATCCACATCCCCGTCTCAGCTGAAGCCGTGATCTCCGTGCTGATTTCCGAAATCACCTCCCAGCTCATCCCAACCCGAATTATTCCTCTAGGTAGGCCAATCATAACGATTGTTCCGTACCACCACACTCTTTTGAGCGGTTGGCCATGAGGATTATTCGTCCACCCTTTCCGGGTTTTCCCCCGGACCAAGCCACTCCAACAACGGGAAAAATTGTCCAAAAAGTCATAAACCTATTGCATTTTTGCCAATTCAGTCTTAAACTTTTTATTTTTGCCAATTGAATCCCAAGCCTTTTCACTTCTTGTCAATTGAGTCAATCCGACTAATTTTGACCGGAAATCGCTAACGTGAACGCTGGGTAACTTATGTGGCGCTAATGTGAACTCTGACCGGTCTACGTGGCGCTAACGTGGATAATTTTTATTAATATTTTAATATTTTTTTGAAAATTTCAATTTTTTTATTTTTCTTTTCTATTCTTTTTCCTTTTTTCTTTTTCTTTTTTTTTTCCCTCCAAGATTGTCCACATCAGCTCTTCGTAGGCCAGCCAGCGTCCTCATCAGAGATTTCCGATCAAAATTAGCCAAATGGACTCAATTGACAAGAAGTGAAAAAGTTTATGACTCAATTAATAAAAAAAAAATTGGCAAAATTAAAATGTTTAGAACTGAATTAGTAAAAGTGCAATAGATTTATGACTTTTTGGATAATTTTTCCCCACTAATGCATCTAGAGTTAATTGAAGATTCTGCTCCATGGCCCGATGAGATGCCTTGAGACGACGAGTAGCCGTCCACAAGACCTACGCCCCCTGATCTTTGTCAGTGAGACGGTTGCTTCCATTGCCATCGTTACCACACATGGCTCCGCTCACCGACAATTTCACCGTCTCCGATACCAATTGACGCAGCAGAGGATAAACACAGATAAATAAATCCGCAAAACACATAAAAGGCGCAACCCGCTCACATATGAGCTACTTTACGTCAAAATAAAGCGCATATTCATGAAAACCCAAACTAGGTAAAAGAAAATTAAAAAATAAACTAGGAAAATGTGACCAATTGAAAATTAATGCCTTGTACGAATAAAATCAACTAAGATTATTCTACGGATAAAGAAATAGAAGAAAAATCCTATTCACATTCTAATTAAAAAATCATCAACCATTAGGGTAATAATCCGCAACACATCTCGACATTATCTTGATGGACCCCCGCGTCACGATTTCAAGAGTAGAAACAAGCTTTGGAAGTATTCTCCAACAGTTACAATTAAAAGTTTGAACGACCACAGCTGCAAAATCAGCCCTGGATTGCTTCTCGAAAATCTGCTTTCAAACCGTTTCAAGCAGACTTCTAAAAGCAGAAGCAAGTACTCGCAAGCATTGCCCCGAAGGCATTATGCTTCGCCACTAAGAATTGCCACACAAGAACTACTTCCTTCTAACTTTTCTAGCATTTGATAAGTGCAAAAACAGGGGTGGCTCGAATAAGTCAAAAGGCAGTAGGAGATTCCGGTCTTCTTTTACTACATGATAATTTCGAGGACAAAGTTCAGTTCAGGATCTGTTTGTTTTGACTTCTTAAACTACCTATGACTTTGACCAAAAAAAAAACTACTTACGACTTTTCCGTCCAAAAAAAAAAAGCTACTTATGACTTCACCGCAAATAAAAATATATGTATGACTTTCCCACCAAATATTCAAAAATAATTATTTTGAAAATTAAAAAATCAGGAAAAAAAGTTTACATGTCTTTTCAATGACTCAAATTGCTAATATTTACATGCTTTAAAAAATTCAAGGAGTTACGCATTAAATAAAAGTCAAATCTAAATACTAAAAGCAGAAATAAAGTCTATTTTTAAAGGCAAAAATTACACCAGCACGCCTTGAAATTCCATGTGAAACAAGAATGCCAAATGATCAACCATTGAGCGGGTAATAACCGAGCTTTTACCTGCTCAAGATATAAGACTCTTCTTTGATAAATGGTTTGCTGGTTGGAGTTAGGAATGGCAACCACCTCTACTCTTTCATTCCTAGCAATATCTCCAAAGTAGTCCCTGTATTTTGCAATATCGGCTGTTGCAGACATTAACACCACCCTGTAAATTATCAAACAGGAACTAAGTTTCTAAGGCCACAAAGCAACCGCTATCCATGAAACATCAAATCAAAGATATGGTTTTCTGTATATATTGCCGGTGTAATTGATTCTTTCCACTTCGTTATTAAATCAAAAGCATTCACATTCTATTTGCTCTACTACCTGATACAAGCAATGTTATTTATAAACTGCCTGTTGAGATTTTCATTTTCACAAGTGATGCATATTATAAAATGCCTGAAGATAAAGAAAAAAGATTTCACTGCATCATAACCACATACTCCCCATGCATCACCAGCAATGATTATCAATGAAAAAGCTTATATGACACCATCACCTCGTGCAGACTAAGTAATAAACTTCGAATGACATCAAATACAGGTAGAAATTTATAGCCTGACCTGAGGTTGTTGTTCTCTAGGAGAAACTGCTTCACGTAGATCAGAAGAAGATCAGAGTCTACAGATCTTTCATGCACTTCATCTAGTATGATAGCCTTGCAATCAAGCGCATTCAGACCCTTGTCACGTATTTCATCTAACAAAACTCCCGCAGTTTTGAAAGCAATCTTTGGGCTGTAAAAGAAGACAGGTAGAAAGGAATAAGGACTTTAGTTTAAAATACACACAACACAGATGCCTAAAGGCACTTCCAAATGGTTAATCAATGTAAAATTAGCATGAGCCACTGAAAAAACAATGTCTTAACCAATATATACATAGATAATAAATCAATGGAAGTGACTTGAATTTACGTGTTTAGCCATTTAAGATACAGTGTTTTACTTTCTGAACATGCAGTAATGACATAGACATGAATAAAAAAACTTTACCATATGAAATCGAAGAAAACATAATGATTAATGAAATCTTAGATCACATTTGTGCGGAAAAATTCATTTACAAGGTTGAATATGTACCTATTTGGTCCAACTTATTATATAGGATTGTACATTTCGATATTTGTATATTTTGAAATGTTTCAAGTGTTTCACATTAAATAATAATTCAGACCCTATAACTATTTTACATACGAAAGCTTGACAAATAACATAGTACATTTCACATGTTGTAACTATTTGATACTAATATAGTAATGACAGAAAGGTTCATCAGTTGTGTGGATGTTGAAGTCACCTCGCTCATGGACATTTTTCTCATGACTTAAGATGATCATAGAATTTGGAAACTCTTCACACATAAAATATAGATGGGAAAAGAGTTCATATTTCTGTAATGGTATGGCTGAATATGTTGGGCCAACTTAACATAAAAGACTGTCCACCTGTATTATTTATTAGTTCAGTAGAGTGGAAAACAATACGTATCTGCAAATAAGTTCACTAAAGATTAGCTCAAAAGTAATGGAGGACAGATAAAGAAGGCAAAAAATCCAAACCTGCGGAAGGAAATAAGACAGTAGTTAGTAAAAACAATGCGTGACTATTGGTAGTGCCAGCCAACAGCTCCAGAAGCCCAAAGAAATAGACAGCATATCAAACATCATGGACCATCTAATTCTCGATATTAAGGACATGGTGATAATAGACGCATGTGTTTCTTTCTTTTAACCTTTTTGCTGAGCGCACGTGCGTGGGAGAGAGAGAGAGAGAGAGAGAGCATGCATCGCTACCTGGAAGATATCTTCTTTAAATGACCAACGTGATATCCAACTTCCTCTCCCAACTCACAATTACGGGCTTTTGCAACCATTTTTGCCATGGCTACTACTGCATATCTGCTAGGCTGTGTACATATTACGGGATAGATGTTTCTCTCTAGCAGAAACTGAGGCACTTGAGAGCTCTTCCCTGATATTTAGAATAAATAATCAGATCCCAAGCAGCAAACTGTGGAGAACTAACAAAAACAGGTCAGAGCATCAATCAGACGCAGAGAAGTAGATAACACAGGTTCCAATGAAATTTAATTCCCAATCCACATTTATAACTTCAGGGCAAGCACAAATATAATCATCCCAGTATTGGATTACATAGTTAAATCGGTTTACAATCAACATTCAGCCGACAAAAACTTCCAATGATACAGATCTTGAAGGCCCCATCTTTAGTTTCTATTGAAAGCTTCCTTTAAATTGAAGGAAAATCAAATATAGAACTAGAAAAACCAAACTATTTGGAACCTGTATAATCTTTTTCACTCCTCTTAAAAGCTAGATAATGGAAGACTGTATTCAGCTTTAAAATAATGATAACAAAAACAACAACAATAAACCAATTACATCCTGACATCAAGCCAAATCTCCATATTCCAGATGTGACTCATGAAGAATCAGCTGGCTTCCTTCTCCAATATGTTTTTAGCAATCGGAATCAGTGAACACGAAGTGCTTAGCTGAATAAAACATGGTCCATAAAACAAAAAACTGAGACTAAGAATTCTTTAGACAGACATTTCATGCGTTGGCGCTATTACAGAGATTAACTAACAAACTGAGTACGAAATTTTCATTCACTTGAATAAAACAAAAATCGTTGACGCAACCACGCTGCCACAGTTTTGTGACCATCAGTACATGCTGCAAGAGACCAAACAATACAGAGCTACACTAAAGTGACCTCTTTATCATTCATGAACACCTTAGGTTCCTTCGGTATAGTTTCTGAAACCGCGAAACACCATGAAATACAATAACATAGTCGACGAACTAGCGAAGAAAGGCGAGGCGACGTGCTGGATGATCGGAAACCAAAAGGCTAGCGAGAGAATAAAGGAATCTCATGCACTCGATTCGCATCATACGAGTTCGAAAGCCTCAGCAGGAGAAACGAAGGACTCCTTCACATAAAATCTCCCAATAACGACCCCGATCATCCAAAATCGCAGCGCCAAATTCAGCGTCTCAAATTCATCGTTCCCACGTCAAACTTAACGGAACCACAGTGCAATGCAGCAGAGCACTCTACAGAGAGAGAGAGAGAGAGAGGGAGAGAGTACCGCATCCGGTTTCGCCGACGATGAGGGTGACACGATTCTCGAGGATCTTCTCGACGATCTTCTCGCGGAGGGCCATGATGGGGAGTGGAGGGGACCCGGAGGAAGAAGGCAACTGAGACGAAAACGAGGAGCTACACGACGGCGTCGTCGGAGAAGAAGGCCTCGCCGCCATTGTCGAAGTCCTTCGAGCGCTTCTTCTCCTTCTCTCTCTCTCTCTCTCTCTCTCTCCTGATCGCAACGGAATCGCTCGCGGTAGCTGCTAGCGCGAGCGAAATGAAAGTGGAAGCAAAGCGTGCTCGCAAAAGTCTCTGAAGGACGAAGGAGGAGGTTTGCTCCCGCGCAGTCCTTGATCCCCTGCTCGGCGTCGCATTTTGGGAACTACACGTGTCGGCCTACGGATGGGCTCTGCGGGAGGACCTCTGACTTTGACTTCGACTGTCGTCGGTTGACTTGTACGGGGGGAGTGGCGTGCGCTGGTCGCGGGAGCAGGGGATCAATGGCCGGTTACCTTCTCCCCGAAGGTCGAAATGGAAGGGGGAACCCGATGTTATTCTGTTCGCTTTTAGTCGCGGACGTGGAAAGAAATTGACCATGATTAAATGATTAAATGGGCGAATAATAATTATTCTGTTTTAAAAATTAATTTTTTATCAGAAATGAATTTTTTCATTTTTGTTCCATGAACGAGTTTTTAAATCAACCACCGCCCGCAGCGGCTGCGTTGGCTTCGGGCTCTCTTCCCCTCACAAAGGAAAGGAGTTCGAATCCCAGCGCTGTCGTTAGGGATTCTTAAGCGTGACGTCACGGTGGTGGGTCCTACACTAGCGTCACCCCGAATTTACCCCTCCGGCTGTAGGCCGTGCGGGGGGTTCTCGGGTTACAAAAAAAAAACGAGTTTTTAAATCAAAATATGCATTTGATAACAACACAAAATTTTTGTTTTTGAAATAAAAATTCGTTTGATAATTATACAAAATTTCTCTCTCCTGAGTGACAAAGGGCAGGAGGCGATAGACAATGGGCGGCGACAGGAGGGGGACGACAACGGGAGGCGACGGGCAGCAATAGACAATGGGAGGGCGACTGCGGGAGGCAGCCGATGACGGGAGGTGGGTGGCAGTGAAGGACAAAGATAGGAGGTGGCCATTGGCGAAGGACAAAGACGGGAGGCGGCTAGCATGCGGGCAGCGGAGGACGGCAGGAGGTGGCCGGCAAGTAGCAGCGGTCGACACTGAGAGACAACCAACATTGGGCGTTTGAGGAAGGTAGACAACGGGTGGCAGGAGATGGCTGGCGGGAGGCAGCCAGCGGCAATGGGAGGCAACTGGCGACGGCGACTGGCAGCGGGTGAGCGGCCAGCTAGTAGTGAGAGCAAGCGATGAGAAGAGTTTTTATTTTTCATTTCTGTTTCACAAACAGAAAAGTAAAAAAAATTTACTTCTGGATTCTGTTCCAAACCTATTCTTGGAGTAGAAATTTGTTTTAGAAATAGAAAAATGAAATTGCGTTACCAAACTAATTTTCTGTTTCAAACCTGTTCTCGGGAACAGAAAAATAGAATGGTTATTGAGACTAGAGACGACTCGTTTACGTCGGGCTTGATTACGCGAGATCAACGGTCACGATCTCCCTAGACCAGACGGATGAGCTCACGTCAACCATGGTCATGGATGCGTGCCGGCCTTAGTATGTATTTAGGCCCGTAAAAAGGGAGGTTAGATCGAAAATAATCCGATTTAATTTGACTTATTTAATACATATTAATCTACTTTCATGTTATACAATTTTAGCAACCCAATTCCGACATTAAACCATACTTGACCTAACTTGAGTTCCATTCTTAGCAATTTTTCTCTTTAAATTTTTTCCTTCAAAGAATTGGCGACTCCATGATTCAGCTCAACAAGTTAGGAAGGGAGCTCAGGGATCGGTTTATGGATGGGGGCATGAAGCTGGCACTGCAAGTGAGGCGGAGGGTGGTGGAAGATGTTCATAATTACAAAAACCTAAAGAAATTGGGAATGATTTTGATGCTCGCATTATCTGCTCACTGCACAGCTCTTTCTCATATGAGCAAGTAAGGAGACTCGTGATTTATCTAATATGAAATCTTTTTGTTCAACTTGCGCATCGTACATATTAAATTTAAAAAAAAAACACGAGACATTGGACTTGTTCCCTTTTTTCAGCATTTCAAGAGGTCAAAAGGTCATATAGCTCGTGGTATTTATCTAAGTAGGGAACCACATGAAGATGAGACCTTCCTTCGATGAAGATGAAGAGGACACAGTCGAATGCATTTTGCCTTTGCCTGAAAATTATCGTGACCAGCTTGTGAAAACAAGAAAAGATTTATAGGCTTTGCGAGGCCATTTAATTAGTAGAGCCTTTCGATCAAAAAATAAATAAATTAGTAGAGCCTGATAAATTTCGACTCCTAGATAAGATACTCAAGCCTAGTAAAAAATTGGTCAAGATCGCGTCGGAGAAATTATGTATGGAATTTTTTTTATCTTGTATCCCACTTTAGATTTCGTTTGTTTTGCGAAAAATGAATAGTTTGGAAAGCATTTTCCCAAAATTAATTATTTATATTATTTGAAATAATTAGTTAATGAAAAATATTTTCATAGTAATGAAAAAAATTGTACACGGATCTCCATGCCACGTCGGTATAGATGCATTTTAAGAGTTTTGAGCATTTTGCATTAAAGCGTCAAAATGCGCCACAAGATTTAAAAAAAAAAAAAGGAAAAATGTAAGAATCACTCCCATTGAATAAATTTATGAAGAATGGCACGGAATTTCTATTGGATGGTTAAATATGCCAATAAATTTATGAGGTATGGCGTGAAATTTTTCTTGCACTTTTAATTTGTCTCCCATTACCTAGCTGGTTGTCCAATCCTCCGGAAGGCAAATATTACATGGTTTAGTCCTAAAGTACACAGGATCATAGACTTAGTTGTTTGCTGGGTCAGCTTGAGCCAATAAGACCAATGCATAAATCGAATGAGCTTGTACAAGTAATTCCTGCTTAAGTGCAAACCGGCTCATGTACGTCTATTTGGCACACTTGTGCTTACTATTTTACATAAGAATCTCTTGCTATATACACTGTGCCGAGTTTAATCGTCAAGACAAGGAATGGGATTGAAATGGAATAGGTGTGTTTGATAGCCCGATTATCCTATTTGACTTTTGGCGACACATGTCGGATAGGTTAAATCCGGATATATCCGGATAAAAGACTGCATAAGTTATTCGAATCTTATGGGAATATAAATTTGAACACGCCCGAGCAAAAAATTAAAAAGATATAAAGAGATAGAGAGTGCGATTGCGATTGCGCCACTGTCGATTACCGCTCGATGTTTGCAACTCTTAGGCAACCACCACACGGTAATTGCCCGAGAGGTTTTCTCTCTCTATTGCGCATGGCCAGATCTAGGCAAATCCAACCACTACAAACTACATCGGGTGGTCGCCGATATGCCGCAGCAATTGACTTCACCCGGGTACAGCAGCGAGCCAACACATTCCATGTTGCCTTGCTAACCACCACGAGTGGCTGTCCTATGAGCATAGTAGCTTAGGGTTTTTCCTTTTGTTTTAGGGTTGCTCTATTTTCACCATCCACATGACTAAATCCATCCCATTTACACTAAAAAGACTAAATTACCCTTAATCATTTAATTGTAATTTAGAGTGATCACCTTATTCCTTCTTTTTCCTATTTTTCCTATCTTAATTAAAGTTCTAGTTGCCATAATTACCCATTTCACATGTTTTGTTTTTTTTAGTGTATTGAAGAATTTTTTTAATGCGTTCTTAGATATTACTATAACGTTTCACGTGTTCCGTGTAAAAGCTACTAGCAAAGAAAAAAAGACAAATTCTTTGATATAGTAAAAAACTTGAAAGTCTCTTCTTCATCATTGCTAATATAAAAACTTATTTATTCTTTCTCCCTCTTATCTCAAAAGCTCACTTTCTTACTGAATTTTTAATTTTTTAATTTTACTAGTCTAACATATATATCGAGTCAATTTATTTACTATATTAGGGGAGTTATCTTTTTCCCTTATTATTGGCGAGATGCTTTTACACAAATGTAAGGCGTTATGGAATATCTAGGGACATATTGAAAACATTATGCACAATGAGGCATCTTGATATTTTTACGTACACACTTTGTGAATGATATTAATTTTTATCAATTCAAGAATGAGATTTCACCAGCAATTTTAACAATTTTCTTATTTTATGCAAAATTTTCATTTAATTAAATTTCATCTTTTAAAATTTTTTGTTGGAGAATGTTATTGTAATTTTATTTTTTTGGAAAATCTTCAAAGAGGGTTTTTTTTGCTATATCTAATCATCCCATTATATATATATATATATATATATATATATATATATATATGTATGTATGTATGTATACGTGTGTGTTTACATATATAGCTTAATCTTTGCTTAATCTTTTCTTATAAAATTTTTTATTAAAATTTTTTCTAGTTTAGCATTCAGGTAAGCATCTTCCTACGCATTTAGGTTTGGAATATTCAGAAAGTTTAAAAGAGGAATCATATTGTGCACAAAAGTCTCCTAATCCTTTATTATAAGTTTTTTGTTCCTTTTTTACCTGTTTTTGAAGACGTATATTAGTACACAGTTGTGTTCCAATTTTATAAACATAAGAGGTTAATTCGTCATAAGAAAGATGGTTATATGGAATATGTTCTCCATATTCTTCTCTTATCTTATTACGAACTTGTTCTCCTATGAGTTTAGGTAATCCAGCAAGGAATTTTTCTTTCCAAACAAGCTGGTTACAATCTCTTCTTTGGAAAACTCTTCGCAAGAATATTTTTTTGTATTCTCTAAATTCTCCTAAAGATTTACACTTCATATTGGATAAGAGATATTGATTCTTATCACGAATATGATATGAATCTCCTATAAAATGTTGAGATATAGAAAATATAAGAGTGTTAACAGCATCTTGGATGGGTTGATCTTCTTCATCAACAATTCTTTGACCATAATCATCTAACTTATAAGCATTTAGAATTTGATTTCTCCGTTCATCAGTTAGGTGATTATCCCACCATTCCTTTAGTTGACCTGTGAAACCTGCTATTAAAAGATATGCCACAGAATAATATGTAGTATCTGGGACGGTTTTATAAGTATTAGCAAGCATGACCATTTGGGTAACGATATTTATAAGATTTTATTCAGAAATGCCATCTATGTTCCATTCATTTATTGTATTAGACTAATACTTGTTCTGTAGTTTTGA